GATATTAATATAATCATATATCATAACGTGCTAATGATAATAGGCGTGCGTGGGGGAAAGCGGGAATAGCAACTTCCATCATTGCAGAATTTCCCGCCGACATATTTTATTTTTTTGAAATAAGTTGAATGTGCATTATTTAAATTCCTAATGTCTCTATAATCATGAAACTTCAGTCTCAAAATCCTGTGGCCAAAATTTTAAAAGTATAAATGAGAAGAAAAAATTAATTGATCACACTTTCCCAGTGTATTGTAATTGCACAGAATCTGTCACAATTTTTAAAAATCACGCATAAGTCGCCGGTCAAGATAAGATAAGGGCACGCGATTTTGTAATTAATATTTTATATAATACATTATTACAATATAATATTAGGTACCTATCTATATAATTTTACATACCAAACGCATTTTTATAAAATTCTATCACAAAAAATCTTCACTCCATACTGTAATTTAGCAATACCTGTATATTTTTTTCTAATATTTAACTAAATTGTCCTTATTGTCTGTAGTATTACCTAACACCAGCATTTTCCTTATTATTATTACTTATTTACTAATAACATTATATTTTACGCAAAATAAAGATACTTACAAGATATTAAAACGATGTTGTATATAATTTTTCAGAGATTGGCCCAGACTACCGAACGGATAGTGAACTTCAAAGCCAGATTAATCACATCTCTTATCTAAACAAATTCAACTCAAAACTGTGTAGTAAAATGTAATTTATTATTAATTCAACATGTGACCCTCTATTTTAGTCATGACTCATATGGAGATTAAAATCTGTAATCCTCGTTTATTACCCATCCCTTCGTATATAAAGGTATAGGGTTCGAAATCAAGTTTTTCAATTATTCGTGTAATTTTTATTGCCAACTGCTTATGAACATAATATAGATAGCATTACTATAATTTTATGTTATACTATTCTCAACAATAATATTATAATATAATTAAATATTTTAAAATACAAAAAATGTAAATTATGGGTACAACGAAATCAAAACTTAAAAATATCCAAATATTTTTGTATTAGTATATTCGTATATTTTGAATTAACTGTTATAATGTATTATCTGAACAATTTTATTTTTTCACACATTCCTCACAAGTTAATAATATAACTGACATTATATTTTTGCATTATAATTTAATTTTGTAAAAAAAAAAAAAAAAAAATGTGCCAAAATACAAAATATTATGAAAGCCACCAAACCAAAAAGTATGAGTAAATTATCTGTGAAGAGTTTTAAATCTCATATTTTAGATATTATTATGAATGATAATTGCATTTAGACAACATACATTAATTATTTGTACTATAATTTTGAACAAACGTAAAATAAACAACATTTCATTTTTTTTTTTTTTTTTTTTTTAAAATTTTGAAGACACTCTGGTGTTGGTGGTTAAATTAAAACAAAAATATTAAATTAAAATTATTACGTATTATCGATTAGTTGAAAAATCAAAATTATTATATTATTATCCTTAGTATAATATACCTTTAACAGGTGTATTGTATTAAAAATATTGTATTCGTATTATTTATTAGATCCATGTTTAATATGTAAAAACATGTAAACCGTATATTATTTTAATGATAATAATACTGGTATGTACCTATAATATGTTATCCTTTATAATATATTTTATATCTATGTATAATTTTTTTTTACTTGTAGATTTTGTATTTAGTTACAGCAAATTAATATTATAATTGCTCAACAATCTTTGTTTATATAACATAGTTATATTATGATAATAAGACAATTAAACATGTTTCAATGTATATATAATTTTTTTTATAAATTCCGTAAAAATTAGGTATGTAGTGTAAGTAGTGTAATAATATTTCTGGACGCGACACTGTCATATTATTATTCACAATTTTACTATTGTATAATGGTAATAATCTCGTAGCTAGGTTAGTTATATTTTGTTAAATTCAACACATCATCATAATAATAAGACTAGGTTTTTATTTTATCATAATTATTTGTATTATTATTATAATATTATAATAAATATCATCATATATAAATCATGTGATAGTACATAGTCATGGTGTTACGCGGATTTTTTTTTTTGTATAGTTACAAGTACATTAGCACATTACAAAATATAATATTTATGTGTATAATAACAAGAATATTTAATAATATAATATGCATTATGCAAACTTATATTATCATAATATAACACCTAGTTGTATACCTACTTGCCAAGTCTTCATCAATATAAATATTGATGAAGACTATTATTATTATTATTATTATTACTATTATTATTAGCTTCTAGCGAAGAAGCTAAGTACCAGCTATTAGTTGGTTATAGGCATGTGTAAATAATCTGAAAATTGCAAATAATCGAACTAAACCCAATACTCAATAATTTGGTTCGAAAGTCATTTGATGCCGTATTGACTGTGCTGGTCGCCAATACAATGGTCTTTGGTGAAATCAGGCCTGGTCTGATTTACGCCCTGATTTGGCCCCCAAATTCCGGGGACCCCGCAAGCTGCAGAAAATTATTTTTCTAATCAAATCCACATAAATTTATTTCGTATAATGTAATACAATCTAATGTTCTAATGTTCAGTATATTTTTCTCATTAAAATTGTCGGTTATTATTTTATAAAAAATATTAGTTATTTTTGTAGTAATCAGAATCATAATAAAATATTAAAACACCTAATAATAATAGAATTTTTTATCAAATCTTTGATCGGAAATGTTTTATACCTATTAACTTTTTATAGATTTTTCCGGTATTTACCCAGTATTATCATATTAATGACCTCACAAAGTATGGCGTCAATAATGCAATTTTTATAAGAGAATTTTAATACTAAATTTTGACGGAAATTGTTTGAGTAAAAAATTATGTTGAACAAATCTAATTTATCAATTTTTTTTTTGAACATATATATATTGCCGATTTAAAAACGATGGAAAAGTCAGAATTAAAGGGACTAAGTTTCGAAATTATAGCTTTTTAAAGTTCTGATATGCGGATATTTTATATTATGTTAAATAACTCTATATTATAACTCTACAATAATTGTTAAACAAATAACTACAATAATTTCTCATGATCTAATGGTATTTATGCCTATAATCATCCTAGGGGATTCAAGTTCAAACCAGTGTTTCGTAAACAAATTTTGCATTTTTTTCCCTTTTACCTAAACAAGGAAAAACCGAATGCATTTTGGGTATACCTAGAGACCCAAGCCATCGCTCGCTGGGACTATTTCAATCATAAAATACCCCTCGATCTGTTGTGCAAACTTTTCTACCAGCAATTTCTTTCCGATAAATAATGATAGCACTTTTTCTGAAAGGAAATCTGACTGGGAAGGTACTTTAGGGAGTACATTTTTCGATTTCCCAGGAGTTTTCTCAATTAATAGGAAAAATTGTGAAAAACGGAAAATATACAAAATATATTAATAAAATATTACGAATTTTTTCTGTAGACAACTTTTCTACAAGCAATTTTGCTCCGATTTACAATAATAACCCTTTCTCTAGAAAAAAATCCGACTAAGGAGGTACTTTAGGGATGTCATTTTTCGTTTTTCTTAAGAGTTTTCCTAGCAAATGTAGAAATCCGAGATAAAATATGGGAAAATCGGTAAAATATTAAAAAAATATTATTAAAGAAAATATATAATGCCTATTTAATTATTTTGCTATAATATGACATTTATTGTTGGCAAAGCATCACTATTAACTGAACTACGTTTTTTCATCAGTAATGGCTTATCGTTGCTTACAGATATACATTAAATTACTTATAACAGTGGTCGCACTCGTCTCCATTATTCGAGTACGTCTTTTTTGTATTAATTATTTCAATTTTAACACAATAAGTAACCTGGTTATAACGTCAAGATTATATGTTCCCTACGTGTTTTGTTTCACCATATCAATCACGTGAAGATCTTATATATCTACACGTCAGACAAGTAAGAAGTATATCTCTTACTTTAATTAAAATAACCCCTCCTCCCCCGTATCTTAGTAAGGAATGGACCAATTCCATATCTTACTATAAGGTAATGAACATAAAATCTGGATCCTAGTTTTAATTGCATTTTGTGTCTCATTACACATTGTTTAATAAAGTTATAGTAGTAAAATCTGTGTTTCTTTTCACACTTTATTCTAAGATATTTTTTATCATTTTTTTTTAATAGATTCCAGTGCATATGATTAATGTTAAGTATCATGTTTTAAGTTTGTAAATGATATTTTTACATATTTATCGAGTCCTTGAAAACAAATTATAATAAAATATATCAATATCAGTCAATTTACATATATCACATTTAACTGTCATTAAATCATTACAGTATTTAAATTCAAGTTCATAACATTTATTATGATTATAAAAAAAAATAAAATACTACATTATAAAATAACTTACTATTAATAGCATTGGTTAGCTTTACTATAATATCTGTAGATTCAATAGTATTTTCTTTTAAATTGTCAATATCCAATTGTATAATTTTATTGCTATAACCTACAGAGACAAATTAATTTAAAATTAATGAATAAATATTAAAATAATATAATAAAACAAATTATTAAATGGTTAATACTCGTAAATAAGTCTCAAATGAGTCGTATTTTACTTTTTGACTTTGTGATATACCTGATGATGAATTTTTAATTCGAAACCACTGTCATCCAAGCGTATTAATTTATATATTTATTTTAATGTGTAAGTTATTAGCAAACATTTTAGAATGTAAAAAAAATTATATGTACATAAATTATGTAAATGACATAATGGGAATAGTAATAATCAATAAATAGCTAGTAATATGATAAAAAATGTCCAATAGTTCAATTTCAAAACCTCTACACAAGTTTTTTTTTTTTCTAAATAAAAAATAAAATATTATAGTAGATTATTTTAAAATTAATATATATACATAATTATATTAGAGTGGTCCAAAAAAACTTACTTATGAAATTCACTCCCTCCCCATTTTTAAATTAATATTTAAAAATAATTTTGTGAATATATGTACTTGATAACTCATCTCCTCCCCGTGCCGAAATTGGGTTGAATTATGACACAAGAGTATTATTTTTCAGTTTTTATTTACAACACAATACGTGATACCTACCCACCCCACTAGTGATTGCAGCACACATGATCAAGTCTATAAAAGCATGATGTTTTTAATCAGTTTCTAAATTGCAGTTGTAGTTCGTAGTACATACTCCTATGTTGTCAGCATTCAAAATACAGACATTATCCAGAATACAATTTAAAGAATATTAAACTTTAAATTAAATATATGGTATAACAGGTAGGTATACCTGAATATTTGGTACAAAAAATATGTCAACTGTATCAAAATAGTTCATGTACAGAATTAAGAACATCATGATTATCAAAGAACATTGAACAGATTCTTCAAGTTAACATAGGGTCTTGACCTAAATTATTAGGCAAACGGTTTATTATCTGTAAGATAAAATATTTATATATAATATATTATTATTATTATTAATAAATTTAACATAAAAATTAAATAATTATAGTAAACACAACATAAACACAATTTTGAAGTGTCTTGTATATTTAAGATGTGTAGTATGGTATTGTGATCACTTAACATGTTCCTAGCAGACTCTCCAGTTTTTAAATTATCTAATATTATATCAAATGTGAATTAATTTGCATACTACAAATTTACATCAGTTAAATTACATTCTTTAAAGATTCAATTGTCTTTTTTTCTGCTAAAATCATCAATAACCTAAAGTGAGAAAGTACAGATATAAATTCCTAAACATAGTTTACAGATCTTTATATAAAGTATTAAATTATCTTATTAGATATTATATTTGAATAATTTGATTAATTATTTAATAAACTTTAAGATAAATCAAGATTTAAATAAAAAGTTTATAGAACATACCATAAATACAGCCATTAATAAATCTTGTTTAAACCTATGTCCAATAAATTGGAGACTGGCAAACTCATAGTCTATTCAACTAAACAAAATACTAGAGATGTTAATAAACATTTATTTCTATTCCAAATTGTTAAAATATTAGACATAGCCACAGATAATACTTATTATTTTTTTAAAAATTAAGCATAGAGCCACTTCATTTTGGAGCAAAGTTTGATTTTTAAACCGAATGAATATTTTATTACACAAAGACTACGCTAACCATAATTTTGAACATTAAAAGAGCTATGTTTTGTTATTGAGGCTTCTTGAAATGTATTTTGCCAGACTATATTTTTAGGATTTCGGAGCCACTGATTACCATTATTGAATTATGGATACAACCTATAACGTCAATTGCTTACAAATCTTTCTATAGAACAATTTTAATTAACTCAAGCTATTGTTAAAATATCTGGATAATAATTCAACACAATCGGAACATAATAACACAATAACATTACATTATCACATGCAACTTGAGAAAATTTCTCATTTTTAAACTAGAAGTAAATAATGTAAAATAATTTCTATGCACAATTGTAATGCTATTTTATAAATCACATTGACATATAATTGTAATAATTTCATAATGGCTTTTTTAACACTAAGATAGGGTAACCATATTTAAAAAAAAAAAAATGATAATGATGATAATGTCCCTAGTTTAGACAATGTTTCAGTAACACGAAGCCTGAAATAAAAATTATAAAATATTATAACTCACTTCATAAAAACAAGTGTGTTGAAGCAAATTAGGAATAATGGAAAATGCTTCTATAAACAATTTTGAATTAAATTAAATTTTAAACCCAACAAAGTTCTATTTTTTATTACCATACTAAAATTTGTTACATTAAGAACTTCAGTACAGGCACGAACAAAATTTAATGTCAGTAACATAAAACCTTTAAATTGATGAGAGCAAAATTTAGAGCCTGTGTTTTATAATATTGTGTTAACAACATAATATATAAAATCAAGTGTAATATTTTATTTATTTATTCTTAAATAAAGAACGTATAGATACTTGATCGCTAGAAGTTAGACGCAGTGCAGTGTAAAACATAGGTACTAATACCGCACCCAGTTTTACTTTATTTTCTCCAGTTAAAATTGTTTACGTTTTACTCGTCCACTGATTTATAAAAAGTGCGCGCTCAGACCGGTGTCGTTTTTGAGTCGATCTGTCCAAAATTACCTCCTAAAGTGCAGTTATTCTTGTTTCCATTAAAATACACGGCTGCCTGATTTTCCCCAGTTAATTTAAAACCTTATCGCTACATTAGTTTCATTTGGCCGTACTATCTCCCGCCACCCGTAAATTAACTAAATTAACGAGATAGACCCTGCTGCACATGCCACACTGTATTTCCAGTAATCCTTATAATTGTTGTAATCGCATATACACTGTGAATGGTTCAACTTGTTATAAAACATCTAATTTGTAATATAAAATTCCATTATAGATTATATATTCATATAATCTGTGGCTCGATAATAATTTCAACATACATTATTACCTATTATTATATAATGGGTATTACGTTATCTTTTGTTTAGCAGCGTCAGCTGCTTCATTCTTGCAGCTCATCATCATCATAAGGTACGTTGCCAATAATAATATTTGCTGTAGTGACATCACTAATACCCTTCTTAATCACTTTATTACTAATATTAACGTCATCTATACCACATAACGATTTAATTATGGATTAGAAAATAAACTAATTTCCTCAATCAATGATAAATTTTCTCGCCTTCGTGTCTCTATTATGGCAAAAGAGAACGAACAACTGAAGAACGAGGTTACTATATTAAAGAAAAAAGTAAAAACCATTAAAAACAAAAAAATCTTCCTTTAAAAATAAAATTATATCAGCATTTATAGACAAATTCTAGATCTCAAAACATAATCGTATTTAATCTACTTGAAGAATCCGGATCTATTTCTGATGGACGTAACGTAATAAGCGAGATTATGAACACAATGAATTTAAATATAATACCAATTAATAGTTCGTATCTAGGAAGACCTTCAGATAAATGTTACCTTTTAAAATTAACTCTACCAAATCCTAGTGATGTTTTTTCAATTCTTCGTTTTCAGTCAAAATTAAAAACTAGTTAAAATTTAAAAGAATTAAAATTCTCATCTGATTGAACGACATTACAAAGAGAACAAATTTCTAACTTAAGGAAATAATTAAATCAACGCAGACAAAATGGGGAACAAAATATCATAATAAAATATATAAAGGGTGAACCTAAATTAATTACTTTGTCAAAAAACACGTAATATCAACTCCAATTTCTATCAACATCTATTATCAAAATATACCTACGCAGCGTAAACAACAAAATATCTTCTCTAAATTCATAAGTCCGTCTTCAAATTTTGGCATCTATATTTTCATTGAAGCACAAACGCCAGTACTATCACGAGAGAAGTTCTAATAGCCGTTAACAAAAAATGTTTTACTAGGTTACTTCATATTCCAATTAATAATTTAGAACAAATGTTTATATTAGTTTCTTTAGGTAATAAACATATAATTAATAGTTCATTTACATGCCTGTTCATTCTAATAAACAATTTTGTTTAGATCACTTTTCCACTGTTGAAAATTTACTTCTAGAAAACCATAATTCCGATAATATTTAGTAATTATAGTCTACTTTCTACCTCTTTTTATGATTATGAAACATTTTTTAATGAACAAATCTCTAATTTCAATCTATCTCAATTTAATCATATTAAAAATATTAATAGTACTACCTTAGATAAATTAATTTCAAATTATAATAACATTTTAATCGGAGAAAATTTAAACCAAATGGCGAAAATAATATCCACCCACCACTAAACATCTACTACACCTGTTACCATATACAATATTTGAATTTTAGTGAACCTATTTATTTATGAAAAATGGAGATTATAAGGCTAATTTAACTTACTTGGGTTCCATTGATCAGAAACAATTATTATGTCGCAGTTATGTTAACTTGAATTTCGTAAATTTTTATCAGCATTTATTTCATGTATTAGAATTATATATTCAAAAAACGATTTCTTTCAAGTCGAATTATCCTTACTGGTTCAGTAACAATTTAAAGTTTTTAAATAATTTATTGATATCTTGAATTCAATTTTATCATGGTTAAAATCATTTTAATTAACAGAAACCAAATTGTTAAATATAAAAATGTCTACTCAAACAATAAGGTAACCTCAAGCGTCCCTCAAAGCGATCATTTGTCATCATCCTTCCTTTTTCTATTGTTAATCAATGATGTAGAGAATTGTTTAAAATATTCGAAAATATTGCTCTTAGCAGATGATGTAAAATTGATTATGCCTATTAATTCTGACTTTGATGCTGAATACTTCTAATCTGATGTTCACAACTTCGTAATATGGTGTAATATAAATGGTATGATTCTGAATATAAACAAATGTTCTTTATTAACTTTTACTTTAAAAAAATTGCCCATTATTCATGATTATGTCATCAATATTTTCTGCCTAAAATAAATCATATAAAAGACTTAAGTGACATAAGTCCCCAAACATAGCCACATGACTATGTTTAATATCCATTTTGTTTTTAAAGAAAAATTAATTATCAAATCAAAAATAATCATTAATTTTATAATAATACTAACTGAATTACCCGGCGTTGCCCGAAAACTAATTCGTGACAAATTAGATAACGCCATGTATCATTATTGTCGATAATATACATAATTAGCGATTAACTAACTTAATTAAAACTGCATGACAATTGGATAAAAAGTTTCGAAGCCAAACCGTAACAAAGATTTCCTCTTTTGCTTTATTTCAGTTTTACGCAAGTCCGAACTGCTGGTAGTGCGGAGTGCAAATGAAATGAACGTGTTTAATATTTTATATGTTACGCAAGTCCAAATTAATTCTATAAATAGAATTTGTATGTGTATTGGTTTATGTTATCGGTGTGCATTTTATCGTTCATTATAATGAAATAGGACTGTTGGTGTACGCGCGATGCATAAGAGTATTTTTATCGATAAACTTCTCGGAACAATTTTACTCTCGGAATCATTATTCTTATCTACACGATGACGACGACGACGAACAAAAAGGATAGGTTGCAGGTAGCTGGAGACCCGCGGGCCGCCGTGCCGCACAATACGTATTGGCTGTGAATAATTATAATTGTTAATTACTCCACTAAAACGCAACATTTTTGAAAATTCCTCCTTGTTGCACGGTGAAAACATGAGAAGAACCTATATTCCAAATTTCAAGTCCGTACGTTACGTAGTTTTTGAGATACAGCGATCAGTCAGTCAGTGGTATTTTATGGATTTTATATGTATAGATTTAACAGGTAATAAAGTAAAGAATCACTGATTAGTTTTTCTTCGAATAATTTTTTAAAATAATTGGTTAAAATGTTAGACATAATGAACTTTTTTCCCCCCAGCTTATGACCGACAGCAGTGAAAGATCTGTTTTCACAATACTTACTCACTGGTTGCCGGATACAATGAACTTTAAAAGAACTGTTGTGTATTTTTCGTGCGTGATGTAGCAGATCAGAATTATTTTTAAATGACGCATTACATAGAGTGCAGTTAGTTGAACGATTTTTTCTCAGTATGGATTCTATAATGAACAACAAAATTGGATTTGAAGGCAAACGTTTCCCATAAACATTACAAGGGTATGACTTTTCCTCCCTATGAATTCCATTGTGTTGATCTAACTTTGATTTAAAAATAAATGACTTAGTACAAATATTACACTTATAGGTATTTTTTAATAACTGGTTATTGTAAGGTTCATATGTTGTTTGTAGTGTTGTTTTGTTAAGTGGCTATGCTATGTCTTGGGATTCCACCTAGAAACAAAATAAAAATTGTTTAAATATTTTATAATATGTATGTGTGTTTCTTGTTTAACAGCTGTGTGGTCAGCATGAACTAAGATAATATGGACTGGCAACAACATGGTAGGTGGACGATAACAGACTCTACAGACTCACATGAGAAAGAAAAAAAAATGATATCATCAAACGACTAAATGTTGTACAGTTGAAAATTTAAAATAAATAAATATTATTGTAAATGATATTGTTTACATTCAAATACTGGAAAGATTTAATGAAAGTTCAAATCCACTATTGAATGATTTAGCACTTTTCAAAAAGAAACATCTTTTAAGTGTATCAACAAAGTCCGACTTACCTAAAGTTGCATATAACGAGTTTCGACAAATGTATGGGAAGTGTGTATTTGCAGAAGATTTGAGAAAAGAATATATTCAATTTGCAAATGCATACTTAGGCTTAAAAAAAAAAGAAAAAAAAAAGGGAATTACTGAAAACTTTACATAAAAACAACTATTTTGCAAGTGCTTTTTTTGAAGAAAGTGATACCAATAATGAGCAACAAAATGTTTCAGATAAAATTTGGACAATGAAGAGGAAATTTATAGAGCTGAAGATACTAATCAAATGATGTACAAAGTGTGCAATATGACTGGTTTGAAAGATACATTTCCTGCTGTATATACTACACTCACACTTCTAATATCAAGTGCTTTTTTTGAAAGGGTCTTTTGAAAACTAAATTTGGTGTAACCAAGACTTTGAAGTACTAATGATCATGCCTTGTAAAAATGATATCCATGTTAATCCATATAAAACATATAGCTTCATTTAGTACAGATTTAGCAAAACTGTTGTTGTTAAATTGTTTAATATTAGAATATGTTATTAAAGATTTAGACTCACAGTTTGGTTATAATTGAAATTATTTACCTACCATGGTATATTTTATGAATAGTGACTAGTATGTACATATAAAATTAATTTTTTTACAATAATGTGTTATTACCTACCTACCTATCTAACAAATATTACACATAATTATAGGAAATTGTTTAGAAAACTTAAGTTAGTTTGTAATTAAATGAAAATAATTTTTTTTTAATTTAATAAATGTCCGTAAGTCATACAGTGATCATAAGTGGTTGAGGGCGTGTTAATCTATTTTTGAGTGGTTGGGTGTCAGCAGTGGTTTTTGCAAATACTCTTAAAATCGAGTTCAGACAATTTTCATCAAAATTTGATAATAAGATTTATTTATAAAAAAAATACTACATTATATTTTTTTTTCTCCCACAAAGTACAACTTCAAATGAATCTCCTGTTAAATTTTCAAGCATTTCTGTGTAGTCTAACAATTTTAATAAAAATGGCATATACAACTTGTAAAGTTTAAATGTAAATACCTCAAGAATGGGTTAAATTTTTTGAAAATTTTACCACGTCTAGAAAAAGCAAATATAAGTTCTGTATCCAAATTTTAAGTTCATAAAGTCCATAAGAATGTTTCTAACTTAATTCTAATAAAAAATTAAATACAATTTTTTTTAAAAAACTTAAAATAGGCTCAAATGTTTTGAAAATTTTTTCATGTCTAGAAAAGCAAATAAAAGTTGTTTGTCCAAATTTTAAGTTGCAACTGATATTTTTTACTAAATAACAACAAAAGCATTATTTTCGTAAATTCACTTCTCCCCTTCCCCCCCCCCCCCGGGGTCTGTTTTATCACAGGTTTCCCAAATGTTATGAAAAAAATGCTGGGAAAATTATCTACCTAAAGTACCATATAGACAAAATAATTTACCCTACCTTTGCTATAATTCATAGTTTTAACATTACTGAACTAGGACTAGGTGCCTACCTAATATTGATAATGTGAATATTGATAATGTAAAGGTATTGATTATCATTGCGATCTGTTCATAGTTGTATCATATTATTATAATAATAATAAATATCTAATATCTAAACCATGTGAATTTGTCCTAACCATAGACCTCATTATTAAAAAGAATACTAGTAGTAATCAACCGAATAGTTCATTGCCAAACAATCCCATATGAATCAGTCAACTATGTAAAATTAAGAATAGTTTATTTGAACTATTCACTCAATGGACTGTAAACTAATGAACTTTAAATAAAAATGAACTAAACTATCATCACTATTAGGTAAAACAATAGATATAATCCATGTAACAAGTAATATTAATAATAATAATACAACTTAAAAAAAATATTTTATAGTGAAAAATATAAAATTATGAATTTGTTAAAAAAAAAAATTCAAAGACTAAAAATAATTAAGGAGTATTAATTAATCTATTTACCTTATCAGATATTTTCTTTATCTTTTTTAATTGTTTTATTTGTTTTTTTGATCTGTAAAAAAAAAAATCCATTACTTAGTCATGGAGAATACTACTGAATAAATAATTTGTATGGTAAATAATATATCTACTGATTCTTATGTTGATGGAAATATTTAGAAAAACTTATCATTTCAACAAAATTATATATTATCAAGCTTTATTACAAATGTAGCATACTTAACTATGTTACTGGAATTCAAAATCAGTTAAGTATAATAAGGTATAATTTGTAATTATTTATTTTATATCTATACTCACAATAGTGTATTTTCTTCATCTTCTTCTATAGTAGTAAACATGTTACAATTAATAGCACTTTCATCTAGATATTTAAAATAAATGATATTAATAAATAATAATGAATTGAAATTAATAAATATATTTATACAATAAATAGATAATTGACCTAATAAAGTAACCAATTGACCATAGATATATATTTAAAATTGATAGAGTTAAAGATTTTTGAATTTTGAAAATAATTTTATTTTTCATAGAAAATAATGAAAGAAATTTTGAACATTTTATAAGATGAAAAATTAAACATAAATGAAAACATTATGTTACAAAGTAATAATAATTTTATTTCATAATACAAATTTTCAAATTTCAAAAACCTATAACTAGATCAATTTTAGTTTTACAACCATGATCATTGGATCAAAATAATGTAGAAAGAAAATGACCTATTCATATCTGGTGATAAAAATAATGATTTGCAATTCAAGAAAAGTAATTTAGTGGAACATATAAGACAAGACACACTGTATACATAAGCAATAAACAAATATTAGTGTTGAATTTATATGAACATGGCTATTTGAGAAAAGTAATTGGCTAGTAGTTACTCTTGTCATAATATTTAAATTTTAGTTTTATTCCTATATGTTTAATTTGTTTTAAATTATTTCAGTTTCATTTGCTTTAATGTGCAACCAGGTATGGAAGTATGTTTACCGAATTGTCTGTGTGACATTCAGGAAAAGTGTCACACAAACAATTCCAAATTCCAAGGTTAACAAATAAGGATAGAGAAACAGCACTCAAAGATGAGAGTTAGCTGTGATATGCCAGTACATATTTAATGGATAGAATATACTAGGTATTGAAGTCAATAGGTTTAAGCAGCTTGGCCCTTATAACTTATGCTATGAGTTGGAGGTCAGGATAGGGGGCTCAACAAACAACTAGCTAAGATTTGGGGAAACTAGTGGTGCTGAAGCAAGACCAATGATGGAGGCTATGTTAATTAGCGACAAGCAGGGAAAATCATGGATCAGCTTAGGAAGGAAAGTTATACTATTGACCAAGAGTTCCTAGAGTATAGTACTAGGAGCAATCAGAGTGGAGCCAGGTGATCAGGAGAGCCCAAAAAAAAATTCAATGGCGAAGATCTGGGTAGTAGTGGGGACTTGGGCTGGGTTGGGCCTTTGAACCTTTGGATTCTTCTCCTGCTTCTGCTTCAGGTAATAGTCATTGGTAGGGGTAACCTGGAAATTAAATGTCATAGTTATGTAGTTGTTATTTTTTCCATAAATAATATAAAATAAATAATGGTGACGGCCACATGATCTGGGTGTTAAAAAAAAAAGAAATCATAAGACTTATGTATTTGACACAGGTAGTCAACCAGAATTTTATTTTACAAAAAAATAGTGGGATGGGGAAGTACTGTACTTAATTATTCTATATTATACCAAATTCATTACACACATACCTACTTGTGTTTGATAAAAATATATAAATTATTATTTTATTATGTTTGTAATTATATCTTTATAGACTATAATATACTGTTTTTATAATTAAATAATTATCATGAAAATTGAATCCTACAAATACAAACCATTTCTTTCACTGTGGGCTTTTTTTTTTATGTTTATTCAATGAAGAAATAAATTTATAAGACTTATCACACATATCACACTTGTTAATTTTATTGTTGCAAGTTTTGTCTATGTGTTCTGTAGTAGTATCATTTTCTGACTGCTCATTATGATTTTTGCCTTAAAAAAAAAAATTAGTAAGTGCTAAAAGTCAATCTAAGTACATTCAAATTTATCCATTTTTTTTCAGTCATGGAAAATTTCAAAGTTTACATTTATTTAAAAAAAAATTATTTTATTTTAAAAATAAATTGTATTAGCAAATTGAGCAAGTATAACATACCTTAACTGGTACTATGAGACTGATTCTTGTTTTCATTAAAATCAGAAAACCCTGTTGATGGTGGTTTAAAAATACCCTTGTATATTTTACTATCATCATTCTTTTCAATTGTGTAGATATCATTTATTGATATTGTATTGTTTATTGTCAACAACTAGAAAATTATTTTTTAACATAAGTATAAATAAATAATATAAAATCTAACCTGTACATTTTAAACACAAATTTCTAAATCAATTAAGACAAATTTTCCATATGGTCTTTATCACACTATTAAAACTATTAACAAAAATACCAACTGAACATATAAGGGCCACTTCAAATTTTTGCAATTATTGAAGTTACTAGTAAACACTATTTTCTTCTGTACAAGTACTTAATTACTAAATTATACACAATTAACTTAGTAGAATAGGATTTAAAAAGTATTATTATAGTAACTAAACATTATCTATAAAATTATATTTTCCCAAAATTCAAATACAAACCTTATTAGAATTTTGATTTTTCTTCTTCAATTTCTTACATTTGTTTTCTAATCTATGAACACAAAAAAACCAAAATAATAATCAAATGTATAAACTGTCAACAAAAATTTTTTTTGTATTTTAAAATATTAAATTGTAAAAGTCAAATTTGTAGATTACTATCATTTATTTATCTATTTAAATCATTCTTAAATTAATTAGTGAAAAATAATATTATCTATTTACAATGTAGGATATTTTGTTTACAAGAAAAACTATGGATAGCCAGCACAAAAAAAAAAAAAAGAGTTAGTTCATAAATGGGATACTGGAAGAAGCTGACAAGAATAAAAAACTTCTTTAACACTATTGGGAAAAACAAATCTTTAATTCAACTTTCAAATGATAATATGTGAAATTAAACTTGTTCATAAAAATGGTGACAACTTTGAATGCAGAAATTACAGAGTAAATTTAAATTTAGTGCACAAAGTGTACTAACAAAAAAAGATCAACCATAGAACAAATTTACAGTACTGAATCAGTATGGATCCAACTATGTCTCATGATATGACAGTAGAAACTGAGTTAAAACAAGGTGATATGATATCTTCATTTCTTTTCAATATTACACTGTAGTGATCAGTCAGAAATATATAAAAATAGCAACTGGAATAGAAGTTGATCAACATAGGATTATTGATCAACTAGGATATCCTAGATTTAACATATTGGACAACACTATGGTTGATGCAGAAAGAGTAGTCAACATTTTTGAAGAAGCCACTGGAATAGTAAGTCTTGTAAGAAAAAACATAGAAAAACAAAAATGCATGAAATTTTCATTTAATACAACACACATTATGGACTCAGATTAATGGAACTATAAAAAGTTAATACATTTTAATACCATGGAGAGTAAAAGAGCATATATGACATTATCTAAACTCTCCAAGTAAAAATTCTGTCAGACAAGGTCGAAATTAGAATATACACAGAGATAATAAGTTATTATTATTAATAATAAAAGATAATAAGAGATAATAAGGGTCTTATGTGGACCCACATAAGAGTGTTCAGATAACTATGAGCAAATCATATCAAAAACTTAATGCCTTTGAGAATAGAATTTATAGAGTAATATGCAAGCCGAAAATAGATAGGAATACAAGTAGTGTTAGAGAAAATAGGGATGACTCAAATAAAAGACTACATAAGAAGCCAGAGAATCGAACAGCTTGAGCATGTAAAATGTAGAAAGGACAATAGTTTAATTAAAGCAACAACATCCTAGTTAGATGGATGTGGTCTGGAAGGATTTAAAGGGAATAGTACTGGAGAGTAGAGAAACATAATTCAAGATTGAATAGAGTTCTAAATTGTGATGACAGCATAACTTGTAGAGTAGTATAAGCTCCCCGAAAAAAAAAGAACAATGTATAAAGAAAAAAATAAACTAAATAAACATTATTAAAATTTAGTAAAATTTATTTTACTTACAGTAATGTATTTTGATTAACTTGTGTAGGTTTTGTATCAGTTTTAGTATTGAACACATCTAAATGTATAAGATAAAAATTAAATGTACAATAATGATATAAATTTTTTTAAAAAAGCACTGATATATGAGATGATTGAACCACTAATGTAGGTGCGAAGTTGAGAAGATAGGATTTATTCATTTTGCATGTTATACATATTTTGAAGGCCATAAAAAGTATAATTTTCATCCAAATTTGCTATTCAAATTTAAATTTAGAAAAAAAAAACTACATTTAACATTATTAACTATTAGTATCAATGTCTTCTTTTTTTATATAAATAAAATATTAGAGAAAATAAAAATGGCAACTGTTTCTTGATTAAACCATAAAAGTTGTATTTATTAAAGGGGTTCAGTTAGTTCAAATATAACATTAAAATATTAGTATTTATATTTCATATAACCATGAAATTTTGCAGATTATTAAATATTATTATAATTTTAAGATTTAAAGAAAATACCAAATTTTAAATTCCAAGATAGGGTGAAGTATTTTTATAATATTAGCAGTGTGCCAAATTGAATTCTAAAAGGGGTTCCTTAGAAAAATAAGAATTTTTTTAAAAATGATTCGAAAATCCTTTTTTTTTAGTTATGAGTTATAAACACTGATAATTATAAAATATCTTTCATCAAAAAAAAAAAAAACGAAAGTATTTATAAAGATATTAATATAACTAATAAAAAAAAACTATAGAAAAATATAATTTATTCTTAAAAATACAAACCTTTTTTAACACTATGACCCTTCTTTTTATGTTTATTCAAAGAAGAAATAAATGTATATGACTTTTTACAATAATCACAATCACATATGTGGATTTCATCATTTCAATTGTTATACATAATTTCAGTAGCAATATCTTTTTCTAATTGTTCACCATGATTTGTATGCCACACTACATTTTCATTGTTCTTTTTCTTTTTTTTGGGTGATAATATTTCCATTTGGATTTCCTAAAAGTATGTTTAATTAACTATTATACAAATACAATATCAGTGAAATATTTTCTAAACTTGAAAAATTACTTAAATTTACATTAATTCGGACTTCTCTAAATTAAAGAACATATATTATATCAGAATATATAATAAATATAAAAAAGAATCACAATAAGTAATTATTGTGTATCATTCTTTAATAATAAATCTTCAAATTTAATGATTTTTTTACTCAGAAAAAATATATACCTTAATAGCTTTATTCTTTTTGCTTTTTTAACAGTCTTTAATCTAAAGAAAATAAAGTTCATTAGTAAATTTCCAACACTATGGTAATTATTTTAAACAATAACATTACTTATATCCCACAAAGATCCACCCCCCCTCCCCAAAAAAAAGTATACAATCAATTAACCATACTACTAATAAACTAAAAGAGAATGTGATAACAGTCAGCTGCATAATTATAGATACCTTTCTATTCATAGGGAATATTCATGTCATGGAATTATAATTTTACTAATATAAATTCCGAATTTTTCACTTTCATTTTTGTACTTACAATGTTTCACATTTCAAGGTATCTTTTTGAAAATACCTTGGAAAAGAAACAGTTATGAACAAAAAGTAAGTATTATACATTTAAAGTTGATAAAATAATATCTCTTTATTTTAAGAGAACGCCAAACTGAAATCAACTGTCTCATCTTACAATTTTTATTTTTATTTTTAGTTTTAATTTTTAAATTTGGATATTTAATACACTTATACCTCATTTGAAATTACAAATATTAAAAAGATTATCAATGCTAGAGCACATACAGGCATATATATAGACGATTGTCTTACCATTAATTTTGGTAATAGGACAATTAAATTTAATATTAAAACTAATGGCACAATGTGTCAAATTGTGTCCTACTGAATGCAAATTTGCTAAGTCTTGCCTTTGTAAGACAGACAGTAGATATCGGTGTGGTGTCCTCTTGAATCATGTAAATTATAATCTGAGATATATGTATAAAATGAAATACGATGAAATATTTAATTTGCACAGTGCACAGATACTAATTCACATATGTAATAACAATATAATAAATATAACAATAACAAACAATATGGTATTTACCCTAGATATACCTCTTAATAATATAAAACAAAGTAACTAGAAAGTAGTTGACTTTACAGTTAGTTCTTATATAGTTTACATTATAAATTAGACAATTTCTTACTGAATGCTTATTTACAGTATACCACAAGGCTATACTCATTGCAACATCTCCTGAATTAATAAAGATAATCAAATGTAAAATCAAATCATATACTCTGTATATGATACAAACATAATATATTTAAGATAACAAAAAAGTTTATCTAATTGAAATTTGAAAATGTAATATTAATAAACAGGGGGAGATTAAACATTTCGAGTAACTCGGAAGGGGGTGGAATATAAGTCATAATGATAAAAAGTTATTCTAGGATAATGGCGAGGATAATCGGCATGAGTACAGCCACTATTGTAGGTCGGAAGCTGGGAAGCTAGGCTATAGACAGAAATTTAATGGGTATCTAAGCAATGATTATGTAAGTAATGATTAACTATTACTACAAATAGATAATTGGAGATTTAATAATATATTTTGTTCCATCGTGACAAACAGACAAATAGTTAGTAATAAAACAAAATATTATATCAGTTGTAGTGATATTTTATAAATATAAAGGAAAACCATTGAACTATAGTCATTTAGTTCACTACTAAGTGTAATACAATAATATAAGTAAAAGTATTATCTCCAAGTGTATTTTTAGTATAATAATATAGTGCACTTGTATGGTTCAATGAGAAAAAATAATTTAGATGTTTTTTTAATGGAATGGAGTTTTAACGTGTTAATTTTTGACACTACAAAATGTCTACTACTATTTTCAATAAAATTTTGATTAAAGTACAAACCTTGATATTAATTGTGAGCATTCATTGTAACTACCTATTTTTTAATTTTATTTTGTAAACAAATTAAATTTTAAAGCGTTCTCTGACTATGAAATTATTGAAATTGTATAATGAACAGATTAACATCAAATATTAATTATAATGATAAACTCCAAACAATCAAAATAATTAATGCACTACTGCTTACTGTGCAAACACACACACACACGAGTTGTTAAACATGGCGAAATAAATTTTTATCATTATTTATTAGCAAAATATAATCTGGTAAAAACCATAGATAATAAACTATGGTTCACAATCTATTTTACAATAGTGATATCCACATATGGTCAAACGATCACGTCTTGTTTCTTGTTATCAGTAACAGTTTTGGACGTACATGGCTAATCCCATTTTATTATATAATTATTAATTAAATTTGTTTGTATATTGTAAGTTTGTAAAATAATTAAAAACTGTAGATATTTAATCAGAAAACCCAGCCATTTTACAATATTTTGTAAACGAATTTATAACTTAAGAAATATTTGGTAACAAAATAAAATTAAAAACTGGTTCGTTATACCAATATTATATGATTATATATTTTAATTAAATAATCTAACCTACCATTTTTTTAAATTTAATTTTTTATAAGATAGTCTTATGTTAAATTTAGTAGTCATTTTTTGTCAATTAACGTGTTAAGACATAATATTTGTTTGTAATTTGTTATTTTGAAAACATTAAAACAATAAATTGATAAAATTTAAGTACCTCAAAAGTGTAAAACACCCTGATCAGCAGAGCTCCTTCACTAGAATCAAATTCTCTAAGGTTAGTTGGCTCGCGAAAACAGCAGGTGCTTAGGTTAGATGTAGAAGGGCAGCAAGTATTTGAATGTAAAACGTGATATTTAATAAATTGTGTTATGAACTTATTATAAAGTCAACAATAAATAATATAATATGTAACCAAACACTAATTATTAAATAATGATACAACTATATTTTAAATTTATCAATCAATCAATCTATATCAAGACTACCATCAATAGGCAAAACTACAGACAAAAAGCGTTAACTCAGCAAATTCACTTTTGCCTGTACAATATATAAACATCCGTTTACTCAATATTCTTAATACTAACTAAAATACTAGGGATGTATTTACAGTTGTAATACTGACTCCTGCCTAATATGACTTTAATTATCTAATGTCATATAAATTGTATATATTTATTAAAAATGTTCTCATATTTAATTTATTACAAACATCTTAAAATTATAGGAAAAAAATATTAATTTAAATTCAACAGTTCATAAAAACTTTAAGGGAAGACGAAAGCTTAAATAAATGGATAAACTCCTTAAATGCTCAAAAGTGGCTCAAGATTTTTAGGAATAATACCATAGGAAAGTAAATCAAAAAAGGAAAAAAAAAAGGTGTTTTGTGATTGTTCGATTAATTCATTTTTTTTTTTTTTCTTGGTCACCTATTCATAACTATTATTTAATCTGAGTATTTAATTTAATTTCTTAACTTTAAATATTTATTACTTCAATCATAACACAGAACACTAATTAATATATGTTGCAACACTGCTGTTTATCTGTGTTNTTAGTGAAATATATTTATTACTGTTTCATATTAGTGTTAATAAAATCTCAATTATTTAAATTTATGACCAACAACTAACACTTAATATCTTCATTTATTTTAATTTTGATTGTGTTTAAATCAAAGTATATACATGCTTGTTAAATACATTTATTTAATGTGATAATTTAAATATATCTATTTGGTACTTTATTCATAGTCATTGTATTTTTTAACAGTTTATTATAAACATATTATGTTTTTAGGTTACCCGAGTAAAAATATTATCACCTAAAGAAAAAAAAAATATCAAACAACAAACTATGTGTGATTCAGATAGTAAAGAACAATTAGAAAATTATATTACTAAAATAATTATGGATAATAGTTGTAACGATAAAATCTACAAGTGTGATATTTGTGAAAAGTCATTTGAATTTATTTCTTCTTTGAATAAACACAAAGAAAAAACTCATAGTGCAGAAAAAGGTTTGTGTTTACTAGAATACTTTTTATTTATATACAAATTTAAATTCAAAATTATTAAAAATTTTATGTTACTCTATTTCATCATTTTAGTAGTTTATATATTGAACATTTATTTTTACTATATTTTTTTATAATTCCATAATTACATACCATTCTTGTTATCTTTTGGTTATATTTACTATTCATGAAAGTGCATACCTAACTCTTAAATTATAATTCTTCATTTATTATTATTTTCTTGGAACAAATTATTAACAACTTTACATTTTGTCATGATATCATAATGAATATACTTATGAGTTATGACAAACTACAGAAATTCAATACTGTATATTTTACATTTAAACCTGTGCAATATTTTTAAATTTACTTAAATACTATTATTTTATTGTTGTTACTTTTTAATTTGTAGATAAAAGTACTACAACAAGTAATATGTTTAATAGTTTGGAGGAAGATGAAGAATATACATTATTGTAAGTAAAAACTCAAGTTTGTCTAGATATCAATAAACATATTATTTTGTATTAAATAATTCTGAATTTCCATAATATATGAAATATTAATAACAATAGATTAATAGGAAAATATAGACCTTCATAGAATAAATGTTACCTACAATTTTATAATAATGTTGAAATTACCCGATTTTCTGAATATTTCAAAAGCTTTTAATTATTGATGTTCTAGATTTCAGGTTCAATTATTTATGAGTTTATGACACTTAAGCAATGTTTTATTTTATCCATAAGTAATATTTGTTTTGTTTATTTACAGGTTAAAAAGACAGTTTAAAAAACTACATATCTTTCTTAATTTTGTAATAGGTGTGAAGTTGGCTCTCCCATGTTGATTTATCCAAATGTTTTTATATTACTACTAAACACTTGCTCATAATTTACATTGATTTATTCATAACTTACAACTGAATATTCTCAACACAATTTAATCTTTATTATTTAGGAACCAACTTTAAATAGCCCTCCTCTTCATAGATTGCAGTACTAAATCCCAATTAAAATCAACATTTTTCTGCTGATTTGTAGCTATTTACACCAGGATTTAGAAAATGTATATTTCCATAGTACATTTCTTATAAAAATAATTTTCAAGCTAACTTTTGCTAATTAGTTTTAAATACTATGTATATAATTGTAAACTTTTTCCACCAAATTTTCTCCCTATATCTTAGTTAGAAAACAACTGTTTTTAATAACTTAAACCATCACTGGTGTAACAGTTAGGTTAGTAATCATCTTTTTATCTCTTAAGTAAATGGATACCTAATCTCACAGTAAAATTAATATAGGCTCTATTTTAACTGGAGGTAACATAATTTTTAGTATTTTTAAAAAATATTCATGGACAAGGAATATTTTAAGTTTTTTAATAGATACCGAATAGTGAATAGGAACTATGATTATATGATAGAAGTATACATAAAATAAATTATGTTTAAAAATTAAAAATTAAATTTCATAGATAGAATGATTTTTGAGAAACCAAAAAAAAACAATGCACCAATTAGACAAAATTTGCTTTCAGAAAAGATACTATACTCTATAAATCAGAGAAAGATTTCTTTTTGAAGCGTTGTTTACAGACAGAAACAATTTCATAGTAAAACAAACAGATTCCTAAAAGTAATATTTGTAGACAGCATATGATACAATAATGTCATAATAATGTATAATCAAATTCCTAGATAAAATTTATATTTGAACTTTGCCCTCATACCACCTTCAGAATTGGGATATATCCACCACTGAGAGATATTTAATTGGCTATGTACTATTTAAATACTTGTTTTGTTTAAATTAAATATTCTATTATTGAAATTTTATTAATAAAGCTTATTTTTTCTAGATTAAATACAATGTTTAAAAGAGTGAAAAAGAAGAAAACTTCTGAGGTATGTATTTATTTATATGTTAAAATTATTGTTCATATTCAAAATTGTAGGAACTACAAAAACATTTTAATTTTAATATGATTTAAATTTGATATATTGTTAAAATTATTATTTGTTAATTATACTTATTGGATGGTCCAAATCTATGTAGACTTGACATTTTTTTTGAGAAATTAAAAATAAGCCCTCTCATCATTTTTTAATGATATGAAAAAGTAATTTTGAGAAAATATGTACTTGATAACTTATCTCCTTCCTGTACGAAATAAGGTTGAATTATGACATAAGGGTGTTGTTTTTGAGTTTTTTTATTAGATAATTTTGAATTATTTTAAATAAGTTTATATTTTATTTATTTATTTATAAATAAGATACAACAATATAGGTTCTATTTCGTTATAATATTCAATCTTTAGCCAATTTTTAATACATAAAATTTGTTTTCGAAAACTGCAAAACAGCCCCTGTTTTGGATTATTTATTATAACTTATTGAACGGTTACATTTTTTCCAGAGAATTGCTTGCTATGATAGGGTTTAATATAACAAGTCATTGTTTAAGAAAAATAAACTTGTTTCTTATTCCATTTTATAGAAATAATTATAGTGTTGTACCTTCCTTCTCTAGAGCATTAATATTGGCAAATCAAATTATGGATTATGTAGATTTTATCTTTATGTCACATATTGTTTTTAAAAGAAATGTATTTTAAGCTTTAAGTTTAATTGCCAATTAATTATAATAATTAATATTTATTATGTTTTGAGTTATTATTTTCTCATTTTTACTATGTTTTTAAGCTAATCTGTATTTACTTTAAAAAAAAAAGTATGTCTAAATTCATTTACTATTTTTATAATTTTTTTTGATTACTTAAACTTATATTATGAAATTTTAACCTTAAATGTGAGTTCATTCACATTTGCTGTATTTACAAAAGAGTTTTTATCCGTTTATTATACAATAAATAAATAGATAAATTTGGAAAAATAAAGCATATAGAGGAAAAATTGTATATTATAAATCATTGAAAATACTTTTATATTAGAAAAAATGCTCAAATAAAACTTCCATTTAATTTATTATTTCATAAAAAAAAGTAAAACAAAATATGTGAGAAATAATTATTTTTTTTTATCAATTTAAAAAAAAAACCTAATATTGGTGATGGGAGCGGACACTGTTGTAGGTGAAAAGTTGGGAAAGTAGGATACATAAGGATATTTCATTTATATCTGTAAGAAATGATAAACCATTATTTGACAAAAGACGATTTAAAACGCAGTTTGGTAATGCATTATTTGAAGTGCCATAAACATTTTTTGTTATTTTGTTTAAATTTAATTAAAAAAAAAAAAAAGTACGATGATTTTGGAAATGTAACTACATCTAGTTAACAACACTATAAGTATTATAACCACATTTCTAGGGTTTACATGTATTTATAATCGAATTACAGCAAAAAAACTCCTGAAAATTTAAATTCCTTAAAAGTTCAAAAGTTTTGGCGATAATACGATACAAAATGCATTATTGTAAGCATTTAATTATAAGTTTTAATCATGTAATGTAATTATTAGATAGGTATTTATTACTTAAACCTTTAATGTATATTTTATTTTATTACTGTATTAGTAAATATTTGTTTTTGTTGAAGTTTACATGAAAAGAGACTTATAAACATTATTGTGTTTGTTGCATATCATTCTTAATTTTGTAATATGTGTTAAGTTAGCTCTCCCATGTTGATTTATCCAAATATTTTCATATTACAACTGAACATATGCTAACAATTTACATTGATTTATTCATAACATACAACTCAATATTCTCAACACAATTCAATATTAAAACTCCTTAAATGCTCAAAAGTGGCTCAAGATTTTTGGGAATAATACCATAGGAAAGTAAATCAAAAAAGGAAAAAAAAAAGGTGTCAAAAATCTCTTAGTGAAATATATTTATTACTGTTTCATATTAGTGTTAATAAAATCTCAATTATTTAAATTTATGACCAACAACTAACACTTAATATCTTCATTTATTTTAATTTTGATTGTGTTTAAATCAAAGTATATACATGCTTGTTAAATACATTTATTTATTGTGATAATTTAAATATATCTATTTGGTACTTTATTCATAGTCATTGTATTTTTTAACAGTTTATTATAAACATATTATGTTTTTAGGTTACCCGAGTAAAAATATTATCACCTAAAGAAAAAAAAAATATCAAACAACAAACTATGTGTGATTCAGATAGTAAAGAACAATTAGAAAATTATATTACTAAAATAATTATGGATAATAGTTGTAACGATAAAATCTACAAGTGTGATATTTGTGAAAAGTCATTTGAATTTATTTCTTCTTTGAATAAACACAAAGAAAAAACTCATAGTGCAGAAAAAGGTTTGTGTTTACTAGAATACTTTTTATTTATATACAAATTTAAATTCAAAATTATTAAAAATTTTATGTTACTCTATTTCATCATTTTAGTAGTTTATATATTGAACATTTATTTTTACTATATTTTTTTATAATTCCATAATTACATACCATTCTTGTTATCTTTTGGTTATATTTACTATTCATGAAAGTGCATACCTAACTCTTAAATTATAATTCTTCATTTATTATTATTTTCTTGGAACAAATTATTAACAACTTTACATTTTGTCATGATGTCATAATGAATATACTTATGAGTTATGACAAACTACAAAAATTCAATACTGTATATTTTACATTTAAACCTGTACAATATTTTTAAATTTACTTAAATACTATTATTTTATTGTTGTTACTTTTTAATTTGTAGATAAAAGTACTACAACAAGTAATATGTTTAATAGTTTGGAGGAAGATGAAGAATATACATTATTGTAAGTAAAAACTCAAGTTTGTCTAGATATCAATAAACATATTATTTTGTATTAAATAATTCTGAATTTCCATAATATATGAAATATTAATAACAATAGATTAATAGGAAAATATAGACCTTCATAGAATAAATGTTACCTACAATTTTATAATTATGTTGAAATTACCCGATTTTCTGAATATTTCAAAAGCTTTTAATTATTGATGTTCTAGATTTCAGGTTCAATTATTTATGAGTTTATGACACTTAAGCAATGTTTTATTTTATCCATAAGTAATATTTGTTTTGTTTATTTACAGGTTAAAAAGACAGTTTAAAAAGCTAAGAAAGAAAAAGGAAGTATCAAATTTGGTAAGTAGTTAATTTTGATATCCCTAATCTAAAAATATTAGGATATTTTTACCTACTTTTTATATATATTCTGACATTCATTTTTTTCAGAATGTAATTGAGATATTTTTGCTATAAACAGTCACACAAAAACAGATTTTCTTCTTGTTAAAAGAAATATTAAATTTATAAAAATCATACTAAGAGCTATTTAAATAATATATATTCTATGATTAAGATATATAGAGTCTCATACTATTTATCTCTTGAGTTTTAATAAAAATTAATATTTGAAAATACTGAAATGGGAACTAATTTCAAACTTCAAAAACATTCATGATTAGATCTTTGAATTTTCACTCCAATGAAATTATAATAATGATTTAATATTTATTTATCTATTCGAAATACATCTCATCAATTATGATTTATTACATTATTAATGTTTACTGGAATCAAAATTTGTGGGCATGAACAATACTATATTTATATGAACTATTTTGACTCCCTCTTTTTTTAGGACTAAGTCATCATTTGAGAAATTTAATCTATACTTTGGTAGCTCTATTTTTAAAGGTTTTTTTGGTTCATATAAAATATTTTAACTGCTCTGTAAAACCCGTGAAAGCCAGTATTATATCATCTTTATTTGATGACATTTATAAAAATACATAACACTTAAAAACAATAAACACAACAACGATTTTCACGATTTCACTTGATAACAGTTATTAAATGAGTGACATATTAAACATTTAGAATAAAAAGACAGGTGAAAACAAATGAATAAATAATCAGAGGCGGACCAACATATGAGTTAAAACGAAATTTTCCGTGGGTCTCGAAGTAAAATTCTGAACTGTTTAATAAAATTGCACATAATTGAATCATTCATAGGAATATTATAATGTATAATGCTTTATTGTAACAGTTCAAGTAAATAAAATCGATAGAATATTGAAATAATATAATATATTGTATATTATACAATTGTATAAAACCTTTATGTAGCCAACAACTGGTAGTGATACTGTATAGGAGAATACTTATGGAAGGATTTCCCTTTGCAAGTGATGCTATCACTCTATCAAACTTTAATATGTTTTATTGCTCAAATAGATCACAATTTATTTATTTTTTATTATGTACCAATGATTTTATAAGATAGTCCTGTTAGTTGGTAACATGCAGAAAGAACAAAGAACTTTAAGTTCGGTAAATATTTTTACAATTATTTTGTATTAATATACAACATTACATTTTTAGATGTTCACACTTATTGTAGTCATTGTATTTACGTAAATACTAGAAAAAAAATATTTTACAGTTTTAGTCTTCGTCGGATACGATCATGCTAATCGCGTGTCTGGCCGATTACGTTTCACTTATGACTCATAGATTTTATATAATATTCTATAATGGTTTTTGTGTGTATTATGCTCATTAACTATTAATAGAATCCAACTTTCTATCTCGTTTAATCTCTGTAATTTACTTTTTAAAAAGCTGTGTTTTTAATTCGTCTGTTGCAAAGTCGTTAATTATTTTAAATTCGTGAAAGTGTTCGAAGGTTCCCACAACATAACATCACCAAGTTCAAAAACATCTGTTAGTGTAAGACTTGACGGACTTATAATATCAGTTAGGTCTCTGGAAAATAAAATTAATCAGCAAGATTCAAATATTTCCAAAATCTTGACGAAACCTTGCGGTCACTTAATATAACTAACGATTAGTTTAACAAAATTAACACAAAGTACATTATAGGTTTTTTTTAATAATTAAGTTTATTAAGTTTTTGTTTTCATAAGTATTTTATGATCATAATATTTTTTCGAAAATTATAAAAATAACGGCATTTCAAAATATTTCTTATTGATAGCTGCTCTGAATCGTTTTTTGTTAGCAATGATTTATCGTTGAGTATAGATATAAATTATATAACTTTATGGATCTTACCTTACTACTTTTCCACCCGTACGAGTGGCTGTACCCGTTCCCAGTAAAAGTTATTTTTATTATTATTATTATTTGCATTGTTCATAAATTAAAAACCCATTGTTTAATAAGTTAGGTTATTGATTATAGTAGGGCTTCCAAAAAAATTGCATTCGCGGTTCTTAATAAATGAAATTACGCCACTTGAACGAATAGTGTAAAAGATACGGTTGAACAGCTAGTGAATTTACTTCACATTTGTTTTCACCGTAGTCTAAACCAGGGTCGCCAATCTTTTCCAACAAGTGAGCAACACTCAACATTTTTAGTTTGGTAATGAAAACCTATTTATTTAGATTTTTGGAATTTTATTTATATTTTTAAATACTGTTAATATAGAGTAGATGTATATAATATTATATACACCTACATTTTTGTAAAATTACTTTTAATATGTGAAATCAGTAAACTTTTTTTTTATGCAAGTACAAGAGAAAAAAGGGTTTTAATCTGATATCTGGCATTGCTTTTCTGCAAGTTTTAAGACTTCTGGAATATAATTAAAACCTGCTCGTCAACTTGAATTCATATTTGTATTTGTCATTCTTGACCGATATTTATTCTTCAAGTATTTTATACTCGTTCACTCACATAGCTAAGTGGAATCCAAAAATGGAGTTACATGTCATATGAAGAGTAATTTCTTGTAGGTTTTGGTATTTTTGAGTACTTGTATACTTGGAAAACCCCGAGATTATCTTAATTCACGAGCAAAGGAAGTTAAACATTTTTTCAGTTCTGAAAAATAAACATCATATAAACTTATAAATTACCTGGTGGAAGGAAAGATTAGTCTGATTCAAATGTTTACGTCATCCCTTTTGAAAAACTAAAATAACATATCTGCTTCGGGACTAGTTATGTTACAGAAATGATTTTTTTTTTCAAATGGGGTAAAGCAGTGCTTTATTTGTAATAATATATGAAGAGGGAATATTATAAGACTAAAAAAATAGCAAAAAATTGAGCACTGGGGTTTAGGTAACCAAAAATAAATATATTTTTTTTAAAAATAATAATTTTGTTATTATTTTTAAAACGATTATAAGGACTTCTATAGACAATTTATTAATATTTTTTTTGTGATTTTCAGAATATTTGATGGCGAAAACGAAAACATGTTCTGAATTTACTAATCATTTAACTTATAATTTGAATAGTTGTGTATTATATTAAAAAATTGTTTCACTGTTTAATTTTATAAGTATGAATGTTCTATATAGATATATTATAATAGTTTTATTTTTATTTTGTTTCTAGGCGAAATCTCAAGTAAAACCAATACCACTAAATGAGAATATAAAACGAATAATGTTTGTTGGACCTTGTAATCGATATTTATATACTAACAACGTTGAAATTAATTCAGATAAAACTTCTAATAGTAAAGTCTATGGTTGTCACATTTGTAAAATATCGTCCAAATGTCTTTCTACTTTAAATGAACACAATCAAATTCATGCCGTCAATCATGATAGTTTGTATTCATGTGGAATTTGTAATAAAACATTTAAGTTTGCCAGAAATTTGTCTGGTCACAAATGTCTTCAACCTGAAAAAAAAACGCACATATGTAATATTTGTTCTAAATCATTTATTTATAATTCAAAGTTAAATCAACATATTAGAGAAAGACATACCAGAGAAAAACCATACTCTTGTGACATTTGTGGAGCAGTGTTTACTCAAAATAACTCTTTAGTTCGTCACTATAGAACCCATACTGGAGAAAAACCTTACCCTTGTAACATTTGTGGAAGGAAATTTTCTTTAAAATTCATTTTGAACAATCACTATAAAATCCACACAGGGGAAAAACCGTACTCTTGTAACATTTGTGGAAAGAAATTTGCTATGAAATATTATTTGGTTCTTCACTATAGAATACATACTGGAGAAAAACCTTATACTTGTGACATCTGTAGTGTAAAGTTTTCTAAAAAATCTTCCTTGAATTACCACTATAAAATACATACTGGAGAGAAGCCGTTTGATTGTGGTATGTGTGAAAAGTCCTTTCGAGTTCAAAGTGATCGATTAAAACATGTACGAAGAATACATAATAGACAATTTTAGGTTCTTTGCAATCAAAACTTAAAACACACAGTTACTGTCCCTTATTTGTATTATTTAACAAATAAGTGATTATATTTTAAGGAAAACTTCAAAAAAATGTAATGTATAGACTAGTATTATAGACTAGTCACTATTTCTTTAACCTAATATTATTTATACATTATTATAATTTTTTTTTTTTTTAATAAATAGTATTATTTTAATTTAGACGTTTTGTACTTTGGTATTTTACCCAATAAAATCATTTATTGTATCAGCTCCTGATAATCTAGTATTTCTACATGTAGAACTGAAGATGCTTTTAGTTTGGCTACAGGTGTAAAAGTTACTTTTAGACAATTAATTATATATTTTAACATATCGGTAAGTTAAAATATAAAGTCCAAATACCATTTTTACTTGAACTTTTCATTATTTAATATTTATTGATAATCAAATTATTATTTAAGGACCACAGATCTATGAGGTAGGTGTATATATACATAAATACATGGATGGGATAGTGTGTATAAAAAAAAAAAGACGTCCTAGGATAATGGAGACGGATGCAGCTACTGTTATAGATAATTTAATGAATATCTGTGAGCAATGATAAGCCATTGCTAATGAAAAACGAATCTGAGTGCATAATTAAGTTTATTGCAATGTTGTCAACAATATATACCGTAAAATGGGTTTACTCAGGACACTTAAATTTCAAATGAACGCTGATCAATAAGTTTTCAAAATACGATAATAATGGTAAGAATCAAAAACTGGTCTTGGCTTAGATTATAAGACCCATATGTTTTTTTTTTTTTTGATTCTCCCTTTTCCATTTTTTTTTTAAAACAAATATGCTTGTCCCAAGTTAGACTTGGTGTTTGCTAACTTGGGACAACTATTGTTTTATATAAAAAAATCATGTATTCAAGTTAGCCATATGTCCCAAGTAACCCGATTTTACAGTATATCATATTATGGTAAAATAATTAAATAGGCATTATATATTTTCTTTAATAATATTTTTTTAATTTTCTTGTTTTTCAAACGTTTTCCGGTTTTTTCTCAGTTTTTTTTCGGTTTTTCACATTTGATGAGAAAACTTGAGAAAATCAAAATATGACCTTTATAAAGTATCTCCCCACAACGATTTTCTTTCAATAAGGGTGCTACACTTAAAAATTTGAGCAAGATTTCTGGTAGAAAAGTTGCTCACAGACAAAAAAGAAATAATAAAATAAACATCTTTGTAAAACCATAAGTTTCTTCGCTCCATTCAGAATCTAAAATCGATATTTTAGTAGGTAAATAATGAAAATCTAGAACAATGGATTTTGATCTGGGTTCTACGTCACACTAGATCATTCTTTAAGTATTTCATGCTCTTTTAAATTTTGTATTTGTTTATAAGTGGCCGATAGGCGATCGCAATGAATTGTTATATAAGAAAATAGTTGTGTTTACAAGTGTGTTCTGTTTATCTATTTTTCTATTATATAGCATAACAATTGTGTTTATCTAATTTGGCATAAAAATTAAATAATGACCTAAAAAAAAGATCTTAATAATTTCTTTGTAGTTGAAATATGTAACGCGAACATTTTTTGAAGAGCACAGTGTGCTGTGTTTAAAAACGTTTAAAAATCATTAGGTATAGACTAGAGGACACTAGAGAGTTGAGTGACCAAATCCTAGTCTGTCTGATTTTTTTTAATTTAAATATTACGGTAGTATTACTTTGTATAAATTCTTACAAGCCAATATAAAAACAAAAGTTCCAAAGTATAAGTACTTTAATAATTTTAAAATTTATCGTTCTGTTTACTATTTACAAATTGGGATATTTTATTTATTTTTTTTTCTTGCTTAATATGAGCATCACCTAGTCATTAGGTAACCTAATTCGGGACTTATCGCATTGCCAATAATGAAAATATGCATGCAAAAATGCATTAAAATATCATCAAAAATGCTGAAAATATGTACACAAAAAGTTACATGCACCCAAAAATGTAATTAAATTTGTTTTTTTATTTTAAATGTAATTTAAAAAAGTAATAATAATATACATAATAAAAGTGTAAATAAAATTTCACTGTAGTAATTGGCTGCCTTTATCCAAATACTCCATCTTGTCAAAATTGGTTCTGGTGGTATTGATGGAGATAGAGATAGATCAATAGATTTAAAATATTGAATACGATAGTATGATTTATAAAAAATTGTTTTCCTATTTGTGATAAGTTTGTCAACTTTTGGATATTCTATTCGTAGAGTTTCAGCAATTCTATGAAATGCATGGGCTAAACAAGAAGTATGTATAGTTTTTGTGTAAAATAATTGAATGGTTTATCTAGCTTTAACCATGTAAGAGGCAGTGTCATTGAGAAACAATAATACTTTATCGTGCTAAATACCATTGGGTAAAAGTGAGTTCATTTATTTATCAAATACTTTATAAATTGTGAAATGATTACATTTTTCTTGCTCCTCAGAATTCAAAAGAAAAATCATACTATACTCAGTTTCATTTAAAATGCCATTAACAACGTTCGCTACATATGTGCCTGTAACATCGGTACTTTTGTTTATTGATACCCAATACATTTATTTTGACCATAATCCCTAATTTGTTGAATTGTATTTTCATAAATATTGTTAACATAACCTTTTCGTAACGTTGATTCAAAAGGAATATCTTTACCATTGCACATCGTTAGAAATTCTTTTAAATATGGATTGGATATATGTTATTAGCTGACAATAAAACCTTACATTGATCGTGACTGAATTTAGATTTTTTTTGTAACGTCCTACAGTGGAGTATTAAAGAAAAATCATGGCAAAAACCTGAATAACATTTCGTGGTGATTAAACATCACAAATATTTATTAAAAATTGCTTATGTAAGAAATTTTATTTTATTTTAGAACAAGTATATATATATATACAAGGTGTCTCACGATAATTTGCTTGTCACTCGAAATAACTTTTATTCTATTTAATATTTTTGATAAATTGTTTTTTAAATAATTATGATGCCTCTGCGCTACAGTTTATATCTAGACATTTTTTTTTAGGGGGGGGGAGTTAAAACAAACAATTTAAAATTGTGTTATGATTTTTATAAAAAAAATCAAAATAACCATTTTCGTTCACCACTTCCAGAGAACTTAATTTTTGGCATTCCACCCTTAACTTTCAAATCATTCAAATACGGTAGGAATACATACCTTAGTTTTTAACCAATTATCATTTTTTATTTAAAAGTAATCTATGTTCCGAGATAATGCATGCCATTTAATATTTAACTACGAAATAGAATAAGATAATAGTTTTTTGATATGTTTTGGTTATTTGTTCGGATATTTAGTAATTTCTTGTATATAATTGAATAAAAGTTCATAATTTCCATTTGTTTTGATTCTTTTGAAAATTCTTTTAAAACTTTATACAAATCTCTTCTACTAAGTTCAATATAATTGCATCGAGATCCTTTATAAAATATGTTTAAACAGTATTATTTATTTATGATTTAATAAGGTCCAGATAACCAAAAAATATGTGTTTATTTGTAATATATACGTGTAGTATGTAATAAACACAATAGTTGAAAAAAAAAGTTTTGAAAATTACAATTATTTAAAAAATCTATTTTTTCTTTCAAGTTTATTTCAAATTATTATCGCACTATTTCCAAATAAACTTAAATCGACCTTTTTTTTTATAATTTTTTTTAAATTATCAACTAAAAACACATAATATGAAAAAAAATTAAAAAATTTGCATAAGTACTAATAAATTTAATTTTAAATAAATATAGTATAATTTTTCGTAGATGTATAGGTTTTTATTACCATTTAATTAGTTTTAAATAATATCGGAGATATTAGCATATATTTTTAGCTTTAATGTACTTGTTATAAGTACGACTATTAAATTATATACAAATTTTAAGTTGATCGTGCTTCATCCAGAATGTAAAATATATTTAACTTTACATTTTATATGATATTTACATATATTTTAAATTTTAATCTATATGATAGCATTAATATTTATAAAATGGTAGTTACCTTTAGAACATAGGCATAGTGTGATGGTTTTCTGAGAGGGAGAGGGCTATAACCCTAAAAAAATTGTTTACATAGGTAATATACCAGGAACGTCTCCAGACTGTAACTATGAGGGAGGGGGATGTAATAATTTAATTAAATTGATTGATTAAAAATGGGTGGACTACTGTTATAGATGAAAAGTTGGGAAGGTAGGATATATTGAATGAAACTTAATGTATACCTGTACCTTAACAAATTTAAGCTTTGCCAATAAAAACGATTCAGAACGAAGCTCGGTTAATGGTATTTCTCAGAAGCGTCTTCTGGTTAATTCCATGGGGGGGAAATGTTTACTCTTAAATACCACCATGTTGATCAACGAATGCTTTTAACCTTTATGCCTGATGTCATTTCAACTTATATTAGCTTGGAAGACTGCAGATATATTGTATAAATGCAGTAAAACAGTACAATTTAAAACTTAAATCTATTTTTTTACATTAAATAAATAATAATCGCCATTACTTTCTATATTAATGTTTTCATTTCGATGAATATTTAAAAGTTATAAGCCAGTTAGTCTCTGTTCAATTTTTTTTATCACAAAGTACGACTTTTAATGAACCTCATTTAAAATTCTCAATTATTTCTGCTTGGTCTAACAATTTTATCCACAGAGTACCTAAAAATTACGTATTAAACTCACAAAATTAAAATATCTATAAATTGCTCAAAAATTTGTCAAGAAAAGGAAAACATAAGTTTTATGTTCAAATTTCAATTTTCTACGAAAATTTTTAACTAAATTATGTCAAAAAACAAAATTTAAAATTATAAAAAGCATTATTTTCGTAAATTTTCCCGTTTTACTTACGTTTTATCCTGGGTTTTCCTGGTATTATGAAAACTACTTGTAAAATCAGAAAAAGACTTTCCTAAATTACCATTTAGTTCAATATGACAATATTTTCTTTCAATAAAGGTGCTACACTTACAATATGAAACAAGATTTCAGGTAGAAATTTTTGTCATAGTATAAAAAAAACCATTGTAATCCAATCAGAATCTAATATTTAAATTAGATTAACCATTTTCCATTTTGATTCTAAAAATATATTATTTTATTATATCTTTGATAATTGATTGTCCCCACTTAATTTTCCATAGTTCTATCTCACCCTTGAGAGAATATATATTGAAATTTATAAATGAGAAATGTCAGTGTTATTTCAATCAAAGTATTTCCAAGATCCGGAAATCATTTTTATTTTATTTGGAACCAGGTTCATTTGTACGTCTTTGTACTTAAGAATTATAGATATTTTGTGTAACAAAAAAAAAAAATCACAAGACTTATGGGGGGCGGGGGCAATAGTCTACTTTGCCTCTCCTTAGGGACGTGCCTGTAATATACCTTCTCGTGAGTTGCCACTCCCTGAAAAACATATGGTTTTTTCCCAGGAAGTCCATCGGCGGACGATGATAATATTATAGACTATAGATAGATTATATATGACAATATATATACGTATATAACAAAATTGAAAATATTATTATTGTTGATATCAATCTGATGTTATGTAATAATAATTTTATAATTATTACTATACACATATATTGTATACATGAATATCTACAAATTTGAATTATTAAATAAATTATTCTATGAATATTTTACCTATTATTAAAAAATAAATAATAGAATATTTTTCAGTTCTCATACATGGATGTATAAAATAGTACATTTTTACTCAGGAGACTAAAGTCTAGCCCCCATTATTCTATGCCTATGCTCCAGGGATAAAATCCATATTTACAATAAACCTTTATTTTTAATATCATAAAATGATGACAAAATAATATAACAACGATAATGTTCAAAATAAAATTACGTTAGGGCATAAAAACTATAAAGGGCCATGCGTGGTTAATAAGACAACACAGACCTACTAATATTTTTATTTAATGTTTATCTAACTGAACTTTGTACTCTGTTTTATAATCTTTAATTTATCTTAAATATTAATTGTATAGAGTTATTTTTATTTCATTGGGTTTTGGTCAGGATTTTTCTTAAATACGCCACTGTGCGTCCATTATAAACTGTTGTGTAAGTACATATTTTACTTGTACTTGGGTGATTTTCAATTCGCTTAGCTGCCCGCCTTATGATTTTCCGTTATAAGATTTCGGGCGACAATAAACCTATTATCCACGCTCACTTTCGTTTCACAAAAATTGCAAAACACATTTTAGTTATTAGTAATGACTAATTTTTTCATAAAAATTGTAAATGGAATTATAGTAAATTGTTCAAACTACGTTTAGAAATAAGTTACATAACACGCTCGCAGAGGCTTTCCTAACTTATTATATTTTTATTTTATTTTACCATAGTGACCGCGTCTTCTCTATTGCGATTGTTCATTAATAAACAATACAATAATTTTATTTAGTTACAACGACCACATGACGGTAAATAAATTCTACTTCTTGGCATATTGTACCACGACAGTGATTACCATATTATGTTACAGCAGCATGGTGACATAGCGAGTGGTCTGTTGGGCGCCACTGGCCTGTGCAGTGACGGTGGGCGCATACGCGCCCTGTGCGCCGACGCACGGCGTGCGTTTTTACAGCAACCAATGCTATTGCGGCTTCGTGCGCCCATAAAAGTGGTCGGTGACTTACACGGTCAGTTCGGCGACTTGCTCCGATTGTTCAACGCAGCCGGCCGGCCACCTGATGCCGATTTCCTGTTCTTGGGTGACTTTGTAGACCGTGGCCCGCAGTCTATCGAAGTACGCCAAGTCCTTATAAAGTCCCACCGATAAATTTTGTACACTAACAATTGGTTATCAACACCGTGATCTATTACGGTTATCATATGTGGTTTAGATAACCGTGGTTTTCTAATTTTATGTCTTCAATATGACAATTAAATTATATTGAAATTAAAATCCGAAAGACGAATATTGAGGAGTTGAGAGATCGTAAGAACTATATGTGAGATGCAGAGTACATAATGGTTAATCGTTATGCCCTAAATTAATGACGTGAGCAGGCAATAATGTGTGACTCTTACGTAAACGATTGAAACGTACAATACTGGATCTGGGTAATTTAAAGTTGTTGACAGGGACTGGAATCGAAATGAAAAGAACCGGTTCTGGAACTGGAATCTTTAAAATATTTGGAACTGGAAACTCTATTCACAAAAAGTGAAAAACCGGAACCGAACCGGAATTTTTATGTTTTAAACATTGAGAACCAGAACCTTTAAAAATAAAAAAATGTAAGTACCGGAACCTAAATTTAAATAATTATTTGCAAATATAACAATGGTACAAAAATAATTTTATAATATTTTTTACAAAAAGGTTGTTTTTAAAATTTTCCAAAGTGAATATATAAAAAGTTATTATTTTTTTTTTTTAATGTTGAGGGGATGAAAATAAAAATGTAATTTTGCTGTAAATCGATGGCCTCTTTAAAGACAAACTGATTGAAAAAAAATCGAAAAAAATTTAATACAAACAGCGCTAAAAAAATCCGTCGAACATGGTCGAATTACATATTTGAATAAATATGTAAGTATATATAATATGTGTGTACCTTGGATGCTTATGAGACATTGATTAAATTTAATCAATGATGTAAGTCATTAGTTTTTAGGATTGGCATTATATAATATAAGAAGTTTAACCCCCAGCAATGCTATTCGTGCTTACATTTTTTGTGAAAGAACCAGAACCGATATTTTTTTTAAAGAACCAAAACTGACCCGATGTATATTTCTTAACAGAACTGTAATCGTAAAAGAACTAGTTAAATTTTTTCTGAAGAACCGGAACTGAAATGAAAACGCTAAAATCAAAAGGTTCCAGTCCCTGGTTGTTGAACCAAGATTTATTAAGGATATTTAGGAATTAGTTGTATAATTAGTGGAAAACCTTATAAGTCCAATAAGAAATCCAGAATTTGAATATTTGAATTTGATATAAATTCATAATTTGCGATTAAAAATGTGTGAAAATAGAATAAAAATATTGTTGGTTAGATTAGGTTAGATAGATTGAGTTGTTAGGTGTATTGTACAAAAAGTGGGATTATTGGTGTAACGTTATATTATCACCACCACAGTAAACATCGATTTTCACGGGTTTTGAATAGTGTACAAATCGGGATTTTCGATTAAAAATTTGTAAAAATAAAATAACAATTGTGGGAGCAATTTTTTTTAATGAAATTCTCAATTGGGAATATTAATGTAACGGGCCATTTTTTCCATATTTGTTAATTTTGCCTTTTTAAATTTAATTTACCACATGCTTTTTGCTCTAATAATTTTTCATAAATCTCGTACTCATAATTTTTATACCTATCCGTAATTTTGAAGGTGATCACTCTGCTGTTGGTGCTCAAGACTCGGTATCCGGAGAACGTATACCTGTTGCGAGGCAACCACGAGTCCCGTTCCGTTAATGTCCGGTACGGGTTTTACGGCGAGTGCAGGTCCCGGTACGGACCTCTGCCGGGCCTCCAACTGTGGCGGGCTTTCAATAAGACATTCGATTGCATGCCGGTGGCCGCTGTAATTGGCGGCCTTATATTCTGCACGCACGGTGGCCTTAGCCCTCACCTGCGCCACATGGATCAGATCGATCGCATCCCGCGTCCTACACCGGTGCCCAAGTACGGCATTATGTGTGACTTGTTGTGGGCCGATCCGGCCCGCGGTTCATGCCGGGGTTGGCGAAAGAACGTCCGTCGGAACTTATCGTACGAGTTCGGGGCTGACAGGGTGATTGAGTTCCTCAATCGGTTCCGTTTCAAGCTAGTAGTCAGGGCTCATCAAGTATCATTATACTTTATGTATTTATACATATTATGCATACATATACACCGTTATTTATATTAATTGCGATGTATATGATTTTCTACCCGCCCATTAATTCAGCGTACCTATATGTGATTATATAATAATCAGTGGCGTTGGTGTACCCAGGATTTTTCAATGGCAACGGCTAAACAAATCGAATTAAATGTATAATATGCTATAACGGTACATATAATAGCGTACGCAAAACAATTTCTAATGTAATAATATTATTATAAAAAGTCTTTTTCTCGAAATTATTTTTCAAAATAGACTTATGTAGTACTTTTCTAGATAAAGTCGTTTGTACTTACCTGCGTGAGTAATTGAAGACCTGAGAGCAAAAACGAGATAAGTCCATTTTTTTAAATTGTTCATAATACGTTAAGAAAGCAATAATAAAATAAGGATTGGACATATCTTGTTGTTGCACCGTAATTGCTTTACGGTGTTACCAGTATTTGGAGCAACAACCAGACTTGTCGGGACATATTTTGTTGTTCTATCAAAAAAGACCACAAGATAAGTCCATTTGTGTTATAATTCCGTAAATAATCGTCGGACGTGTCTGATTGTTGCACCGGTCGATGCGGTATATGGTTTCTATCCGATTCAATAAAAAAGTGATTTTGCATAAAAATTGGACATGTCTCATTGTTGCCCCAAGTCTTCAATTAGTGCAAATGTATAATGATTAATATAATATTTGAAATGAATTATTTTTCAAATTATTTTCACTGCTAAATATGCTAAATAGTTTATACGAGTTTGTACTCGTATTATTTGTTTACATTTTAACACAGCTACCGGGAGAGGCTGAGAGGCTGAAGCTCCCCCTTAGTCTGGATACGCCACCTATAATAATATTATGTTATTATCACAACGCTATGTCCTATTATTCATAATTTATGGTTAAAATTATTATTATCGTATTCGTAATGCGTTTGTTCAGTGCGTGAACGGGGGTTACCAGTTTTTCGCCAGCCGCAAGTTAGTGACCGTGTTCAGTGCACCCAACTACAAGGGATACGGTTTGCCTGGCGCCATCATGTGTGTGGACAAGCACGTAAAATGCACATTCCAGGTGATACCCGTGCAAAAGGATAAGTCGATGGTCAACCGGAAACGATCTCGTCCAAAGTTATCACGTCGGAATGCAAATAACAAAAGCGGCGGAGATAGTCTGTGACGAACGGAACACTTCGGTTCCAAATCGATACAATCTAAAAATGTATGTTACCGGTAGGTACCGTTATATATACCTATATATATAAGATTAATGGATCAAAAACCCATGATGCCATAATACGAACAACGCACTTAACCAACTACTATAGTATTAACGTATTGTTAGTGTCTAGTAGTAGTTTAATGTAAGTACCTAGAACGAGTTTAATATTGTCTTTGAACAGTGCTCGAACTGAGAGGGAACTGTATGGGAACTCAGATCCTAAACTAGCTTTTGATTTTAATTAGCGTTATGGGTCAGTGTTAAATAAATGTTCAGTTGGAACGCTGTTTTATGTTCTGAGTGGAGTGAAGAAGCTTATGGTTTTACAAAGATATGTTTTATATTTTTTTTTTAACTATGCGCAACTTTTCTACCATAAATCTTGCTCCGATTTTTAAGTGTAGCACCTTTTCTGAAAGGAAATAGATTTGAGAAGGTATATCTATCAGATCATTTTTCAATTTTCTCAGAAGTTTTCTCATTAAATTTGAAAAACCGAAAAAACCGGGAAAATGTAAGAAATGTAGGTATTAGTTAAAATTAAAATTATTACGGCCTTCTTTTTTTCTGTGCACAAATTTTCTACCAGTAATTTTGCTTCAATTTATATTGATAGCAATGGTCCTAAAAGAAAATACGACTGGGGTGGTACTTGGATCTGTGATTTTTAATATTTTAATTATCGTCGTAAACAAAATGTATACAAATACTTTATCTATCATGAAAATATGTTTGTCTCTCTCACGCATATATTAGCTTTAATAAATTAAAACCTCGTGTAAAACAACTGTCAATTTGATTTATTTATTTTATATCTATAATACTACATACTGACTTATTGGATAACGTTTTCAGAATATTATAGAAATGCATATATAAATTGGGTGCCGCAGAAATGCTTACAAAAAAATAGACACCATAGGTACCATACAACCGGTTTTATTTTAAAGAAATTAACACATATGAAATTATGATACTTATTACAAATTAGTACAAAAAAAAAACTGTACTAGGATAATGGGGATAGATGCAGTCACTGTTGTTGGTAAAAATTTTGGAAGATATGATATAGAGGGGAAATTAATGAGTACCTGTAAGCCACGATAAATCATTGATTACTAAAAACGATTCTGACCTGAGTTCTGTTAATAGTGATGCTTTGTCAACAATATATATGTCATATTATGGTAAAATAATTAAATAAGCATTATACATTTTGTTTATAATAATTGTTCAATATAGTACTAATTTTCCCGATTTTCTTACGTTTTTTCCGGTTTTCTCATGTTTTTTCGCAGATTTTCACATTTGCTGGGAAAAGTCATGGAATAATCGAAAAATTACCTCCGTTATGATGTATCTTCTCAGTTAGATGTTTTTTCAGAAAATGTGCTATCATTGTAAATCGAAGGAAATTGCTTGTAAAAATGTTGTTCACACAAAAAAAAAATCATAATATTTTACTGATATATTTCGTACATTTTGCCATTTGTCTCAGTTTTTTTTTTGGTTTTTCACATTTCATGAGAAAACTTCTAAAACAAATCGAAAAATTTAAAGTACGATCCCAAGAAAATTTCCTTTCAGAAAAGCATCTACATCGTAAACATCGAAGTAATCATTCTGGTAGAAAGTGTTCACATAAAAAAAAAAAAAATCTTTTTAAAGCCAATACATTCTTCATTAAACTCAGAATCTAAAAAAGATTGACATTTTCAAAACCTGTTTTTGTGTAAAATAAATATATTACTGTCATTGCGATTTATTTCCTAGACTCAATTTTTTACCAGAAAATACTCTTCTTGATGTTAATGAATAATTAGAGTAAGATTTCTGGTAGCAAAATGATTCATATTCCAAAATAAGCATACGTAATAAAACCAATATATTTCTGGCTTCGTTCAAGATATAAAATAACCATTTTATGGAAACACATAATAATGTATTTTCATAGTATTACAGTTATGCCCACTCCAGGAGGATAAAGAGGCTATAGTCTTCGAGCAAACCCCTCCCCCCAAAAAATCTTAAATGTGCCCAGGGAGTTGAAATAAAATATATTTTACCTAATATAGGTAATAATATACATATTATCATACCATAACTAGTTTTTTGAAAATCCCTGAAAATATTAAATGCTTAAAGACTTAGACACAAACTTACTTTAAGTTTTATACTTATATTAAATAATTATAATTATACAACATACATTAAAAAAGCAATATTTAATTAAAATATTAGTACGATTAAAATTTAAAATTATGATTTGTATGATTAAAATCAATTAAAAATTAAACATTACCTCCTAAGAGTAGACAATTTTCTTTCTACAGAAGCAACACTTTCTGGCAAGCAAGATATTATGTAAAGAAGTTTCTCTATGGTTGGGTATAATATATCGTTACAAAATTCAACAGAAGTGGTGTTATCCATGTCGACTTCTCCATCTTAAACAATAAAAGCAATTAATTTTTTTGAAAAACTCAAAAAAAATGTTCAATTATAGAAAACAAAAATTATGTTAAAATTTTATCTTGATCTTTTACTCTGATCCACTTTGACTTCCGCAGATCAACTTCAGTCTTAAGCTGCTTCTCTTTCAAATTAATAAAATAAATGTCATCAAATGCAAAATATGTTATAATAATTTGAACTATTGTGGTAATATTTTCCCGGTAACCTTAATAATATTACCTTAACCTTAATACACAAAAGAATAAGTTGAGAAAACATAAAAAAATTTGATCTTTTTTTCACAAAATCGTTGTACCGTATCACTCAATTTATAATATTAGCTATTATTTAAAAATCAAGGTAGATATTTGGTTAGTTGGATTAACATTAGAAACTACAACTGGATATAAACTGCCATCAAACCGACTGTAATAAGTAAATATTTTAATTTACATTTGTATAATAATTATTATATTCAACAAAGCTCCATTTGAACTGCAATAAATGACTGGAAGTCATTAAATTTTGGATCAAGGCCAAAATACTAACTGAAAAAAAATACCGAGCGTTTCTAAAAAATTTAAAGTTACATAAATTCGACAGATATACATATTGATAAAATTGAAAAAAAAAAAACGTAAAGAAAAAATGAAATAATGAATAAAGAAAACGTAAGGATAGTCTTGGAACATTTTAATTATTATCTCAAGTATAATTAATAAGTTCTTCTTCTAGTAACGTGCCAAGTGACGTAGACGATATTGAATTTTTAGTAGATAATAAATTCTTTGTCCAAAGAAAAGAACAAACAATTTAGTAAATTCCACCCCAACTTCCGCGTTGGACAGCGGATATCAGTAACAGAAATGTAACATTTGTATAAGTAGCTATTGCTGAATCGGTTTGGCAAGGTTTAATTGCCATTGCTGTAAATAGAGAAACCATACGTAGAGCTCAGCGTCAACGTAGAAACAATTTCAGACTTCAACTTCTAAAACATTTTAAAACTAATGTTTTTTTAAAAAATGTTTTTTTTATAAGATTTTTCATAAAAGTTTATATAAATATGAAAATAATATTTATTATTTAATCTTTTTTCTATCATTTTTATAATATTTAAAAAATATAATAGATTCTGATGATGATTAATTATAACATAAAATATTTTACATATTTGATAGATCAAAGAGCAAAATAATATAAATATATATAATATTTGCGATACACAATATCTAAACACGTACAAATTAATAGGCATGTCTTTGTTTTTCCACACCATTTTAAATTAGTTTCAGAACTATATAATAATGATTATAGGCATGTACCAATATAAGGCAATATTATAATCAGTACAGGGCTTTTTTTTGTTACTTGAACTAAAGTGCTATTGATATAATGAAAATTAAATTCATAAGTCATAACATTAACTTCAAACTTCATGAATAATAATTTTGTTTTGAAAATATATGATAGTGTAATACAATTTAAAAGTTCATTAACAGAAATTATTTAAGCATTAACTGAGGTGTCAAATTGGGAAAACATAGTCCCTGCATCTAAAGCAAAGACTTTAATATTGTCATTTGTGCAATTTGAATTTATAATATTAACATTTTGTTTATCATTAGTAACCTACTATAGTGTATCTACACTCTGTTACTTATCATGTAAGTAAAATTTTAAAAGGGAAGAGTCAGAATATATTATCGGCAAGTAATGTAGTAGAAGATATAGTGATAATAATGAAAAGAAACTGTTTTGTTCGTTATATTGTATTTAAAAATATTTATAGTTAATGCAAATTTAATGACCAATTAAATGTAGAAATAAAATTACCTGGACTAACATTAATCAAAAAATAGACCAAAGTCAAGTAACATTTAATAACTGTGAAGATTTTTATGGAATCACAATTTTTATTCCCACTATTAGATAGCATAATTGGAGATATAAAACGAAGATTTTATGGCCAGAAAAACCAGACAATCCAAACAATGACATTTTTATTACATAAAACTTAACTAAATGGTCTCAGAATATTAATAGCACTAATATGATACTGAAAATTAAAACTAGTAACCCATTTCTTCAAGAAGTGAATGATATACTACTGAAGTCAGAAATTGAAATCGTAGTAGCATAGTTAATAACACTAAACGAAGACAAGTATTATCTAAAGACACCCGTAAATTTAAAAAATCTCGGACAGAAAAAGGACCAGACGAGGTCTTAAGGCTTGGCTGAGCCTTTAGGCGATTAATTATCCTATGCAATTTTGGAAGAAAAAAAAAATTGTATTCGAGTAGCTACATTAAACAAGTCTAATATTAATGAAATTTAATTTAATATTTTTGAACAATCCAATAGTGATGTATGGTACAAAGTATTTAGATTGTGCCTTACTGCTTCTCAATTTGGTCAAGTTCGCAAAATGCGTAATTCAACAAGTTTCAAGAACACTGTTTATAATATAGTAGATGCCACCTATAAAACTAACTTTGAGACTAATGCGAAGTGAGTGTTATAACCGAATGAACTTTATAGGCGAAGTGGAGAAAGGATAGATTGTATTTGGATTTGTCCGGACCGTTCCAAGTGATTTTGAGTCTAATAAGCGACTGAACCCTATATCCATGAGTCTTATAAGCGTTGTCCACTGTATATTATTTATGGATCATAAATCCAATTAAAAGTTTTATAACATGGTCGTGTGACAAGCTCAGTAAATTATTGGTGAACCAATTCAGGAGGTCTATGAGTAGATCAGAAAATTCCATACATGGCTGCTAGTCTGGGTATAACTTAATATATCGTAATATTATCTAATCGATTTGATATTTAATTAAAATAATTTTTAGATGATTTAATGAGATGCAATGCGGTTGTAGGAATGTGCACGAAATATTGTTAGTACAGTTGACGCTGTAGAAAAAAAAGCTCGTAAGATTAATTATCTACTAATGTATTAAGATTAAATTAAGATTAAATTTTTTTTTTAACTAATGATAACATATTATATTTTTAGTTTCCATATTGTAGTTTAGTTAATAAAAGAGTTGTTTAAAACAAAACCATACTTATTTTTATCAAATTATAGGGGACAGTTACATGTTACTCGAAGATAAATATGTTATTTTGTAGTATAAATCTCTAACTGAATACATATTGAAGAAATTCGATATGATAACGTTTTTTAGGAAAATAAAATGGTGAACACAATGAAAACGTAAGATTTTATTGTTTCATAATAATAAAGTGTCAAATGAGAAAACTCTTGAGAAAGTCGAAAAATTCCTTGCTTAATGTACCTTTACATGCCGGTTTCCTTTCAGAAAAAGTGTTACATGTAGAAACACGGATAAAAAAAAAAATCTTTGATAATTAAAATCTTAAAAAATTAAACATTTTTAATAATCTTTAATTATCTTTAATAATATTTTTTTAATATTGAACCCGTTTTTCCTACGTTTTCCCGGTTTTTACATTTGCTGGGAAAACTCATTGGAAAATCGAAAAATTTATCTCTTTAAAGTACATCCCCAGGCAGATTTTCTTTTGTAAAAACTGCTATTAGGGGGAGGACTCCGGACTATGACTTTGAGGGGGGGGGGCGAAATAATTAAATTTAATATTAATGATTGACAAGAAAAAAAGACGGACTTACTTCAAACAATGGATGGACCACTGTTATAGATGAGAAGTTGGGAAAATAGGATATTGAGGCTAATTTATTGTACATTTATTGTATCTGTAACTAAGCAAATTTAAGCATTGCCAACAAAAATGATTCTGAGTGGGGCTCGGTTAATAGTATTTCTCAGAGTCTATAAATTACTTAAAAATTTATCAAGAAAAGGCAAATATAAGTTTTCTGTCCAAATTTCAAGTCTCTACGAATATTTTAAACTGAATAACAATAAAAAGTAAAATTGAAAATAATAAAATCATTATTTACGTAAATGCTCCTGTTTTTCTTACGTGTTATCCTTGGTTTTCCTGATAAAAATACTGCTTGGAAAATCTTCTTAAATTACCATCTAGTTAATATGACAATGTTTTCTTTCAAAGATGTTTAAATTATACATTGAAGCAAGATTTCTGGTAAACAATTTTTCACAGTATTAAAAAAATAACATCATTGTAATTTCAGTAGGTACATTCTTTGCTATACTCAGAATAAACAATTTAAATTAAATTAAATTTCCAATTTTGATTCTAAAAATACAATATTTTATTATATCTGTGTAAACCGATTGTTCCCACTTAATTTTCCATAATTCTATCTCACTCTTGAGAGAATATTTATTGAAATTTATAAATAAGAAGTGTCAGTGTTATTTCGATCAAAATATTACATTAAATTCCCTTCTGTATCCTACCTTCCTAACATTCCACCCATAACAGTGACTGTACCTATTGCACATGCGAAGTATATCCGTTTATTTAAGTTTGCTTCTTCCCTTAAAGTTATTGTAAACTGTTGAATTTAAATGAATATGTTTTTTTTTCATAATTTTAAGATGTTTGTAATGCATTTAACTTGACTTTATAATAAGATCATAACAAAATTTATTAAATATCACGTTTTACGTTCAAATAGCTGCCGCCCTTTTACGTCTACCCTAAGCACCTGCTGTTTTCGCGAGCCGACTAACCGCAATAGGAGCACAAATTCTGAATCTGTTTATCTTCACTGACATTTTCTTTCATGTTAGAACTTGGCAAAATAAATTCAAGTATTTCAAAATAACTTCCAAAATACGACGTTTTTACCTATCCTAAGCTCTGGCCGTCTTTTAGTCGGCTTCTTATCGTACATTTATATTCAATGCTTATCTAATGACTCTATAGCAATTTTTCATTTTTGGGTACCACTGGGCTCTGTTATCATTAATTGCAACTGGAACATACATTAATATGTTTATAAATTATTCTCCTCGTTTCTTCTCGATGCCATAAACTCTTAACATATGTGAGTATTAAAATTTATTAATCATTTGGAGTTTATCATATTATTTAAATTATAATTTACAATTTAATCTGGACATTATATATTTGCTTAGTTTGGAAGTGTGCGTTTAAATTCAATTTGACAACAAAATAAATTAAAAACATGCAATAGAAGCTCACAACTAACACAGAGGTTTGTACTTTAATCAAAATTTTATTTAACATAGGAGTAGATATGTAATATAGTCTCTATAATTAACACATTAAAAACCCATTCCATTAAAAAGTCATCGAAATTAGTTTTTTGTCTCATTGAATTATACAAGTATCTACGCTATTTTATTATAGTACAATACACTTACAGATCATACTATTACTTATATTATTGTAATACACTTAGTAATGAACTTTAAAATATTATTATAGTTCAATGGCTTTTTTTTCTATGTACAGAGTATAACTATTATTATTATAATATTTTGGTTTTTTTTCTACTTATCTAATTATCGCACTAGCAAAAAATATTCTATTAAATTTTGCCATTCATGTTCATTTGGTCTATTATTTTCATTTTTATGTTTTGCAGATTGAATTTTTTTAACCATTATGACTTACAACAACCCCCCCCCTAGTTACTTAAAATGTTTAATTTTCCACTGCTTATTAAGAATTCAATTAGGTGAACTTTTCTTTATCTTAAATATATTATGCTTGTAGAGTTGTGCTATATTCAGAGTATCCCAAGAAGAAATACCTATTATTTTCGGAAGATAATAAAGATAATCAAATAAATAGATTAGATAATAAATCAGACAAAATAAAGTGTACAGTTAATTAGCTATAATTAGTTCCTATCAACGAGGAAGATAAATACAATTTTGATTTAATTTTAATTTTATTACTAGATAGTAGGTATATAATATTGTTATTGTCATTCAATAATATGAATAACGTTATCATTTAGGCTGTATTTCCTAAAATATTAAATATAAAATGTAGTTATAAGTACCTAAAAAGCTAAAAAACTGCCTTAGGATAATGGGGATAATTGCAGCCACTGTTATAGGCAATTGTATGTATATCTGTAAGCAGTTATAATTAACTGTTGCTAATGAAAAAACGATTCTGAGCGGAGTTCAGTTGATAGTATTGCTTTGTCAACAAAATATATATTAGTGTCATATTAGTGTGAAATAATTACATAATATGTATTATATATTTTCCTTAATAATATTTGTTTAATATTGTACCTATTTTTTATTTTTCCCATTTATTGGGAAAATCAAAAAATGATTTCCTTTAAGTACAACCCCAGTCAGATTTCCTTCCAGAAAGTGTTATCATTATAAATCGGAGCGAAATTACTGGTAGAATAGTTGTCGAAAAAAAAAAAATTAATTAACATCGTTGTAAAACCAATATATTCCTCACTCCACTCAGAATCTAAAATGAATGTTATAAATATTGATATTTTCAATAAAAAATAAATAATCCAGCAGTTGAAAGTATGTAAACATTTTTGTTATGAGAGTACGACCTTATACCATTACTGAAATATTTTTTTTGTATATAATCTGATATAAACATTCAGTAAGTAATTTTTTAATTCGTAATGAAAACAATATCAAAATCTGTTGTTTTTTAGAAGAACTAAACATAAAGTAGTTGTAAAGTCTACTATTTTCTAGCGACTTTGTTTTATATTATTCACAGGTATATCTAGGGTAATGCTTTATTATTTCTGATCTTATTTGTTATTACTTGTAATACATATGTGAATTATCTGCGCACTGTGCACATATATATCCCAGATTAAATTGTCTATGATTTAAGATAAAGAGATAAACAGATATTATTTTATCAATTATAGATATATTATTTATTTTTTGTTCATAACTGTTTCTGAAGCTATTATATGTAACACATAAAATCAGTGCATTCTTCACTAAACTGAGAATTTAAAAAAAAATTAATTAATTAATTTAAAATCTTCTGAAAAACATTTTTAGACAACAAGTGCACAAAATATACAATTTTAAAGATATGTGAATGACATAAATAAAATATTAATTTAATAAATGCATACTATTTTCTGAAGAAAGTCCACCTTTCTTTCTATGTTCATAAAAAGACTATATCAATTCATAAGACTTTTCACAAAAATTACAATTATAGATCTTATTATTTATTAAAATTTGCTTAAAAAATATATTAAACAAATTGTAAACTGTCATGTGCATTAAAAAATGTTTATATGAAATCATAGTAAAATAACAAAGTATTAGGAAAGTTGATTTAAGTGTATAATGTTCAGCAAAATATCTAAGCTAATATTTTTTCTAATAACAAAATTAAGAAGTTTTGTTCATGACTTTCTGAGGAATTCTAAATATAATGTATTATAATCTAATGTCTAAAATGTATATAAAAGTAGCATAAATTTAAAAATTATATTATTGTAACAGCTTTATAATTGAGCATTATTCAAATCTTGAACTAATATTTGGGATCAATGTTTAGTTTCTTATACTATTAAAATATAAAAGAGAAAGCTGTCCAAGAAAAATAGGGACAGGTGCAGCCACTATTGTGAGTGGGAATTTTGGTAGGTAGGATATAGACATGAATTTGGACAAGTCTGAGCGGGTTCAGTTAATAGCGTTGCTAGGCTAATATTTATGTCATATTATGGTAAAATAATTTCATAAAAATCAAATATTTTCTTTAATAAAATTTGTTTAATATTGTACCTTTTTTCCCAGTTTTTCCCATTTGTTGAGAAACTTGTAGAAAAATCAAAAAATGACCTCTGGAGAATATAAAGATAATCAAATTTTGTTTTTTTTATATATATTTTCTCCTCGATAACAACTAATATTATTTATAATGCATTAAATTGTTTATATTTTTATAAAAACAACTTTAAATTGTACTATTTTTGAAAAAATTGGAGATGGCCATTATATAGTTTATTCTTTTGAAAATGTTGATGTATCAACTTTTTATATTCATTAAATTTATGGTTGTTAATAATTTTTAAAAGTTTAGAAAAAATAATTGTATAATTAATAAGTCGTAATAATAATAATAATAATAATAATAATAATCAATTAGTGAATGAGGTTACAGCCTGTAGCTGCATAATTATAAGTACTTTTCTATGAACTTAAAAAAGTTATTAAAAATCACAAATTTAATGAAAATAAAAAGTTGACACATCAACATTTTCAGAAAATAAACTATAAAAGAGCCATTTTCAAATTTTTCAAAAATAATAAAAACATTTATTAAACTTTTTCACCACAATAAATATAATTAAGTGTAATATATTTTTAGTCCCTATCCCTATATATTAGATAAAAAAAAAAAAAAAATTGATAACCTTTATTACCACAGGAGATATTGCAATGGGTATATTATATACATGGGACACCCTCTATTTAAATGTTAGTGATTTATAATGCATAGAACCATGAAATTTGTGTTTTAATAAATATTTATTAATAAACAGTAGTATAGTTTCATAGTTTATTTAACCAAAGTTTTAATTACTTACCAGACTAAAACATAATAAAACTGTGATAACCATAACTATTAAGATCAATTATTAAAATTAAATTAAATATTTTAATGGCTACAGGTAGGCTGAGAGATTATTTGATTCTAGTGAAGCTCTGCTGATCAGGGTGTCTTACATTTTTGAGGTACTTAAATTTAATCAATTTATTGTTTGAATGTTTTCAAAATAACAAATTAAAAACAAATATTGTAGGTATGTTACAAAAAATATTATGTCTTAACACGTTAATTGACAAAAAAATGACTACTAAATTTAACATAAGACTATCTTATATAAAATTAAATTTAAAAAAATGGTAGGTTAGATTATTTAATTAAAATAAATACCACATACTATTGGTATAATACCGAACCTGTTTTAATTTTTATTTTACTACTAAACATTTCTCGAGTTATAAATTTGTTTACAAAATATTGTATAATAGCTAGGTTGTCTGAATAAATATCTACAGCTTTTATAATTTTACAATATACAAACAAATTTAATTAATAATTATATAACAAAATAGGATTAGCAATGTACGTCCAAAACTGATACTGATAACAAGAAACAAGACGTGATCGGTTGACCATATGTGGATATCACTATTGTAAAATAGATTGTGAACCATAGTTTATTATCTATGGTTTTTACCAGATTATATTTTCCTAATAAATAATGATAAAAATTTATTTCGCCATGTTTAACAACTCGTGTGTGTGTGTGTGTGTGTGTGTTTGCACAGTACGCAGTAGTGCAGTAATTATTTTGTTTGTTTGGAGTTTATCATTATAATTAATATTTGATGTTAATCTGTTCATTATACAATTTCAATAATTTCATAGTCAGAGAACGCTTTAAAATTTAATTTGTTTACATAAAAAATAGGTAGGTACAATGAATGCTCACAATTAATATCAAGGTTTGTATTTTAATCAAAATTTTATTGAAAATAGTAGTAGACATTTTGTAGTGTCAAAAATTAACACGTTAAAACTCCATTCCATTAAAAAAACATCTAAATTATTTTTTCTCATTGAACCATACAAGTGCACTATATTATTATACTAAAAATACACTTGGAGATAATACTTTTACTTATATTATTGTATTACACTTAGTAGTGAACTAAATGACTATAGTTCAATGGTTTTCCTTTATATTTATAAAATATCACTACAACTGATATAATATTTTGTTTTATTACTAACTATTTGTCTGTTTGTCACGATGGAACAAAATATATACGAACCTGTTTTAATTTTTATTTTACTACTAAACATTTCTCGAGTTATAAATTTGTTTACAAAATATTGTATAATAGCTAGGTTGTCTGAATAAATATCTACAGCTTTTATAATTTTACAATATACAAACAAATTTAATTAATAATTATATAATAAAATGGGATTAGCCATGTACGTCCAAAACTGTTACTGATAACAAGAAACAAGACGTGATCGTTTGACCATATGTGGATATCACTATTGTAAAATAGATTGTGAACCATAGTTTATTATCTATGGTTTTTACCAGATTATATTTTGCTAATAAATAATGATAAAAATTTATTTCGCCATGTTTAACAACTCGTGTCTGTGTGTGTGTGTGTGTGTGTGTGTGTTTGCACAGTACGCAGTAGTGCAGTAATTATTTTGATTGTTTGGAGTTTAACATTATAATTAATATTTGATGTTAATCTGTTTATTATACAATTTCAATAATTTCATAGTCAGAGAACGCTTTAANAATAGTTAATCATTACTTACATAATCATTGCTTAGATACCCATTAAATTTCTGTCTATAGCCTAGCTTCCCAGCTTCCGACCTACAATAGTGGCTGTACTCATGCCGATTATCCTCGCCATTATCCTAGAATAACTTTTTATCATTATGACTTATATTCCACCCCCTTCCGAGTTACTCGAAATGTTTAATCTCCCCCTGTTTATTAATATTACATTTTCAAATTTCAATTAGATAAACTTTTTTGTTATCTTAAATATATTATGTTTGTATCATATACAGAGTATATGATTTGATTTTACATTTGATTATCTTTATTAATTCAGGAGATGTTGCAATGAGTATAGCCTTGTGGTATACTGTAAATAAGCATTCAGTAAGAAATTGTCTAATTTATAATGTAAACTATATAAGAACTAACTGTAAAGTCAACTACTTTCTAGTTACTTTGTTTTATATTATTAAGAGGTATATCTAGGGTAAATACCATATTGTTTGTTATTGTTATATTTATTATATTGTTATTACATATGTGAATTAGTATCTGTGCACTGTGCAAATTAAATATTTCATCGTATTTCATTTTATACATATATCTCAGATTATAATTTACATGATTCAAGAGGACACCACACCGATATCTACTGTCTGTCTTACAAAGGCAAGACATAGCAAATTTGCATTCAGTAGGACACAATTTGACACATTGTGCCATTAGTTTTAATATTAAATTTAATTGTCCTATTACCAAAATTAATGGTAAGACAATCGTCTATATATATGCCTGTATGTGCTCTAGCATTGATAATCTTTTTAATATTTGTAATTTCAAATGAGGTATAAGTGTATTAAATATCCAAATTTAAAAATTAAAAATAAAAATTGTAAGATGAGACAGTTGATTTCAGTTTAACGTTCTCTTAAAGAGATATTATTTTATCAACTTTAAATGTATAATACTTACTTTTTGTTCATAACTGTTTCTGAAGTTAGTTTGTGTAACATATTCTTTGAAAGTTTGTTTCTTATTGAAACATGTTAATAAAGTATTTAAATTGTTTGATTTTTGTTAAGACTTGATTTTTTTTTATTTTAGTTATTTTTTTTAAAAAAAAAAAAACATTAGAATACTATTTGACTGATATTTTGCAAAACTTTATGCACTTTATATATTTTTGTTTACGTATTTGCAATTTTACTATGATTTCATAAACACATTATTTAATGTTGATAGCTGTTTAGAATCTTTTAATACAATTTTAAGTTTGGTTATTTAGAATATCAATACATTTAAATAATTAATTTATGGAAGTTATATATAGTTGTTGAAAATAACATGTTGATTTAATGTTGAACAACTTTATTTATTATTGTTTTTTAAAGATATTTCTCATAATGAAACATTGAATATTTGCCTTGCTACAGAAAATTTGAACTAGATTTGCATTGATAAAATCTTTAATTGTGATGTTTGTATAAAGTCATATGAATTAATTTCTTCTTTGAATAAATACAAATTAAAGTCTCTCAATTCATAAAAGTAGTGTATTTAAAATATTCTTTAGTCAATTGTTCCTCTAACTTTGAAACATTATTGTTGATTATTAACTTTATTATATTTGATTTGTTTAATAATGTTTTGATATAAATATTACCAAAACTTACGTGAAACAGACCATATAGGCTTTACTTAACCTAAAGGAAATAGAATCAACAAATTTAATAATGTCATTTACATTTACTGTATTAATATGTTTTGTGATTTAATTTTTTGTACCTGTGTGTTACATTTCTATTAGAATTCTTGCTTTGATGTACTAAGTGTAGCAACATTCTTGAAAGGAAATTTGTATCTAGTTAGTGTTTGATTTTCTAAAGAGTTTTCCTAATAATTGGGAAAAAGACAAACCATGAAAATTGATAAATATACTTTTTTGCTAACTGTTATAACTGTTTTAATTTCTTAGGTAAATTTTGTCTTTTTTGTCATTTTATACTACAATTTTTGACAATTTAGTGCATATTTATTGTATTTTTTGGAATTCTATTTTATTTTGAAATTGTGAATATATATATTTCTAAGGTATTTTAGTGCATAAATCCACAGCCCTAGTTTTAAATATTTATAAAGACTTGAAATTCTAATAGAAAACCTATATTTGCTTTTTCTAGTCTTAGTAAAACTTTCAAAACATTATGAGTCATTTTGAGCTATTTATAGATATTTTGATATACTGAGGTGCATAATTTTCAATTTGTTAAAATATATTGCAACAAGATTATTAATATGTTTTTAATTAACTTTTAAATAAAATTGTTAAAAAGGTGAAGAAGAAAAACAGCTATCAAGATATCCAGATTTTGTATTTGTAGATGTGTCAACTACAATTAATACTACAGAAATATGCAATGATAATATAGACTGTGAGCCATTGTAAGTATTCATAATAAATGTAAACATTATTCTGGTCTGATTTAATTTGTTAGAATATTTTGAAAAAATTAATTTAATTTTAAGACATAATACATTAGTATTATTATTAAATTAATATTTTTTGAAATTAATTATATTGTATATTGTGTATTGGTGTAATGTTTTTTTAAGTAGGTATTAATTTCTCAAAAATAAATACCATGACATATTTGATTTATAAACTGTTTTCTTTTAGATTTAAAACTGAAAAAAAAAGAAGAGATCTACAAGGGTATGTATTTATTATGAGTAGATAATAAATAAATAGAATAGTTGTATATATAAAAATTGGTCAAACATATGATTTTGTTTATAGTTATTAATTATTATAAACAAGTAATATGAACTTGTTTTAATCTGCCATTAGATTCCATTGGTTATTAATATCCTATATTGTAAATAATTTCATTTTACATTTCTACCTACCTTCATTATTAGGAAGTATACCCTTAGTTTATAAACATTCCATAGAATAGAATATTTAAGTTATTTTACCAATGGTCAATTATTGTGAAGTGAACAATTCAAAATAATTATTCTTTGTGTTTCTTGTTTCATGTCTGTTATATTCTAAAAAATTAGATTGCTGAATATAGTTTATTTTTACATTAACATTCACAGGCATATATTAAAATGTTTTCTTAGTTTAGATTATTATGAAACATTTAATTGATATTGTTTTAAAATTAGTGTTTTTTGACCATGATTTAGGGAAGTTCAGATAGTTAAATTGTTTTCCAAAAGTATGAAAAAAAAAGGAACTACAAAAGGTGTGGGATACAGACCATAGTGAACAATTTGAAAATGATATTGCTACAGTAATTAAAGAAAAAAGTATCATTAGTAAAATCTACAAGTGTGATGTATGTAAAATATCATATGAATTTATTTATTCCTTGTTACAAACATTAAAGAAGGCTCATAAGAGTGAAGATTTGTATTTACTAGCATACAATTTACTTCTATACTAATTGCTATTATGATTTCCTTTATTATAATAAGAGAAAGAATGTTGGATATAACTTGTCATGTTTTCTTGTTCAACACATTTAGAATTCTTATTTTAGTTTTTACTAAGAGGTGATATGTGGGATGCCTGCTTTATTTATTATTTATTAAGGCTCATAGTGTCAAAAAAGGTTTGTATTTTTAAGTATAAATTATACTTTTCAATAGTTTTTTTTTTTTTATTAGTTATATTAACATCTTTATGAAATACTTTCATCCTCTTTGATTAAAGATTTGTTTATAATTATCAGTGTTTATGACTCATAACTAACTTAAAAAAAAAAAAAAAAAATTTTGATTATTATATTTATGTTTAAATTTATTTATTGAGTACTTGAGTCCTATTGAGAGTCTAAACCTAGCCCGAGGCCACTTGATCTTGGTGATATATTCCAGGCAATCTTGGTCAATAGTATAACTCTCCTTTCTAAGCTGGTCCATGGTTTCCCTGCTTATCGCTAACTAACATAGCTTCCATTTTTGGTCTTGCTTCAGCACCACTAGCTTCTCCAAAGCTCAACTAGCTGTTTGTTGAGCACTATCCTGACCTCCAGCTCATAGTATAGGTTATAGGAGCCAAGCTGCTTAAACCTATTGACTTCAATACCTAGTATATTCTATCCATTAAATATGTACTGGCATATCACAGCTAACTCTCATCTTTGAGTGCTGTTTCTCTATCTGTATTTCTTAACCTTGGAATTTGGAATTATCTGTGTGACACTTTCCCTGAATACTTAGGTTTGAATTTAGATAAACACTTTGGTCAAATATATTAAACAAAAACGTGTTTTACTAAACTCTAATCCCTAGGCTAAACATAGCCTGAAAAACAAATTAATGTTTTATAAAAATCCAAAGCCTACTAAATTTAGTTATGGGTTGCATTAAAAAACTCAAGTGTGTTAAATTTTATTTTGCACTTAGACTTGGGAACATTGACAGTCTTCATATTTTCTATATCTTCAATGAAGACTTCATAGATTAACCCATTATCTTCTTGCAAAGCATCTAAATTCGGTAAACATACTTCCATATCTGGTTGCACATTAAAGCAAATGAAACTGAAACAATTTAAAACAAATTAAACAAATAGTAATAAAACCAAAATTTAAATATTATGACAAGAGTGGCTGCTAGCCAACTACTTTTCTCAAATGGCAATGTCCATACAAATTCAACACTAATATTTGTTTATTGCTTATGTATATAGTGTGTCCTGCCTTATATGTACCACTAAATTACTTTTCTTGAATTGCAAATCATTATTTTTATCACCAGATATGGATAGATCATTTTCTTTCTACATTACTTTTATCTATTGATCATGGTTCTAAAACTAAAATTGACCTAGTTATAGGTTTTTGAAATTTGAAAATTTGTATTATGAAATAAAATTATTATTGCTTTGTAACATAATGTTTTCATTTATGTTTAATTTCTCATCTTATAAAATGTTAAACATTTCCTTCATTATTTTCTATGAAAAATAAAATTATTTTCAAAATTCAAAAAGCTTTAGCTCTGTCAATTTTAAATAGATATCTATGGTCAATAGATTGAAAAGATGTTTAAAAAGATTTTTAAAAAAATGATCTATTCATATCTAGTGACAAAGATCCTTATCTTTGTCACTAGGGTTGGTGTTCCAGAAAAGTAATTTTAATTGCACATGCACCCACTGAAAGAATTAAAAATTTAAAAATTATCTCAATGTGAGATATTTAATGATGCATATAAGATTGGACACATTGTATTTTAAACATATTTGTTTTAAATTTTATAAATTGTTCTACACCTGCTGGTTAGAATCATTTATTTAATTTGTATTTATTTACACTTGTTTTTTTTTTTCTTAGAAGTTTCAACTACAATTAATATTAATAATATAGAATTGTAAGTATTTAAAACAAATAATTTAATAAATTTAAACATTATTCTTGAATTCGCTATTGGTGTCTTATTTTTTAAGTACTAATTTGTCAAAAATATGATAGCTTTTTGTTATACATTTTTATTTTAGATTAAAGACTGTTAAAAAAGCAAAATATAGAAAAACTATTAAGGTATGTATTTATTATAAATAAACAAATTTTTCTAAACATGATAATTGAATAAATTTATGATTTTATATCCAGATTGCAAACTTGTTCTTTTTCTTCTTCTCCTTCATTTTCAGCTATTTGGGGTTAGCAGCTCTCTGCTTAAACTCCTACTTTACCTGGTCTCCCACCTTGCATATACTTGCTGTGTTTGAGTGTCTTCAGATTATTCTCAATCATATTCAACCACCTCTTTTTCAGTATTTCTCAGCCCCTTTTTCCTCCTACATCATATATTTCCATTGTAATTATTACTGCTTTAGATTCTTCTCTCCTCATGACCTGCCTAAACCATCTCGGTCTATTTTCTCAAATGTTGTCTATTATTGAAGACATTCCTAAACTACCTTTTATTTACTCATATGTTATCCTATCTTCTGTTATTTCACTCATCTACCTAAGCACTTTCCTCTCTGCTAATCTCATTTTTGTTCTATTTTGTCTATCTACCTTTAAGTGTCATTGAAATTCTCTTGTCAAAAATATTAAATTAAACAATTAAAAAAAATATCTGATAACGTAAATAGATTATTACTCCTTAATTATTTTTAGTTTTGAATTTTTTTTTAAACAAATTCATAATTTTTTATGTTTTTTTTAAGTTGTATTATTATTATTAGTATTATTTGTTACATTGGTTATATCTGTAGTCTTACCTAATAGTGATGGAAAGTTTAGTTTATTTTTGTGAAAAGTTCATTGAGTGAATAATTCAAATAAACTATTCTTAATTTTATATAGTTGACTGATTCATATGGGATTGTTTGGCAATGAACTATTTGGTTGATTACTACTAGTATTCTTTTTAATAATGAGGTCTATGGTTACAACAAATTCACATGGTTTAGATATTAGATATATATTATTATTATAATAATATGATACAACTATGAACAGATCGCAATGATAATCAATACCTTCACATTATCAATATTAGGTAGGCACCTAGTCAAAGTTCAGTAATGTTAAAACTATGAATTATAGCAAAGGTAGAATATATGGTATGAAACAAACAGTTAAAATTACTGATCAAAAATGACCCAAATTATTTTATTAAAACAAAAACACAATGCTATATTAATTTGTCTATATGGTACTTTATTTTCCTGGCGGGTTTTTCATAATATTTGGGAAACCCGTGATAAAACAGCCTCCGGGGGGGGGGAGATGGAAGTGAATTTACGAAAATAATGCTTTTGTTATTTTTAAATTTGATTTTTGTTATAATTCAGTAAAAAATATCAGTAGCAACTTTTTATTTGCTTTTCTAGACATGACGACATTTTCAAAACATTTGAGTCAATTTTGAGCTTTTTAAAAAAATTTTGATTCAATTTTTTATTAAAATTAAGTTAAAAATATTCCTGTGGATTTTATGAACTTGAAATTTGGACACTGTCTTACTGTTATAGATGGGAACTTAGAAGATAATTATTTATTTATTGTTAAATAGGATTTTTATTTAAACTAGTTTAATAATAGTTATTTATATCGTAAGCCTGTATCAATAAATCATTGATATCAATATAACGAAATACGAATTGTATTGAAAGTTATTGTATTTATTAAAATAATATTTTTTTTTTGTATTTTCAATCACCTTCGTTACACGTAGAGGGGGAGCGAATTTCGTAGTACATAGAAACATATCTTAAATTTAAACACAGTCAGTATTAATACAAAATTACGATAACAATGACCAAAAAAAGAGTGCCGTTTACGTACATACAGGCCAAGCCTTTGGATATGTCATTTGAAAACGCGGAATCGCTAGATGCCAGCGAATTTCAGGTTTTCCGGACAGATCTCATTAATTCGCACCGGATGCTCGGCGTGCCCCGAAAATTCAGCGGGCGCTACAAGACGGCGTCGTTGCTGTTGAACGGCAACCGGTTGACGAGCCTGGAAGACTTCCGGACGCTGGCCGTCCGTATGCTGTACTTGCCGTCGGCACTCTGCTGGCTGGACGTGTCCGACAACCGTCTGAACGACGTGTCCATCGACGAGCTCTCCGATTTTCCGAACCTCCGTACGTTGTACCTGCACCGCAACCGGTTGACGACCGTCGGTACAGTTGCGAGCCTGGACCGATTGACCGAATTGCGAACCCTGACGCTGCAGCACAACCCGCTGGCAACTGCGCACGCGTACAGGGCCATGGTCCTGATACTGTTGCCCCGGCTGACCAGCTTGGACTTTGTGCGTGTTACGAACGATGAGAAGCACTTGTTGCCACCCATTTTAGTACAACAAATCGTCAACCAGGAGAAGAAACAGCAGATCATCGTTCCCCCAAATTCCGATTCTAAAACTGACATCTAATGGAAAACTATACCCCTAAAATCCCGTCGAATAGTTTTTAAAATTTTAGGTATTCGAGATGAGTTAGCACCTTAATAAATTAATTAGTTGTACAACTTTGTGTACCCAAATCATTTTTTCTCTCCGTGTAAGAAACGATTTTTAAGACTGAATTATTCCTGTAGGGTTGGATTAGGCCACCGGAATACAGAGGCAGTTTCGACTAAACTTAAAGGAGGGGGCAGTAGAAGATTTATGAAGGGATTAGGGGAAGAGCCCCCCATTCGCCTGCCAAGATCCACAACATTTTTTCAGATCACCCTATATTTATAAGCTCCCCCTATCTTTATAGGCTCCCCCTAAAATATTCCAGGATATCTTTAATCTAGTTGATAATTAAAAAAGTAATTTTTTTATTTTAATAATTAGGAAAATCAGAAAAAACGTAGATAGAACAGAACAATTTATAAAAATAATGCTTTTGTTATTTTCCATTTGGTTTTTTTGGTCTTAATTCTTCAGTTCAACATGTTTGTTGAGGCTTTTTAAGTAATTTTTATTCAGTAGGTACTGAGTGGATACAATTGTGAGATCAAACAGAAATGCTTGATAATTTAATAAGAAGTTTATTATAAGTCAAAATTAGTGGTCAAAAAAAAACAAATATAATGTAATGCAATTTTTTTTTAGATTTTGAGTATATCGAAGAATGTATTAGTTTCACTAAGATGTAATTATATTTTCTATTTTTTTTTTCTTGCTCATGTGTATACACGCGTGGTACAATTTGTGAAAAGGAATGTGACAACATTTCTAGAATACCGATTGGGAGATAATTTTTTGATTTTCTAAGCGGTTTTTATAATATTTGAGAAAAACCAGGATAAAACTTAAGAAAAAAGGGAAATTTATGAAAATAATGCTTTTATAATTTTTTAATTTTGTTTTTTGTAGCGATTCGGTTCAAAATATTTGTAAAGACTTGAAATTTAGACAAAAACCTCATATTAACATTTTGTAGACGTGGTAACATTTTCAAAAAATTTAAGCTAATTTTGATCTTTTTATAGATGTTTTAATTTTGTGAGTTTTTTTTCATATTATTTATTCGATAGGTACTCTGTGGTAAAATTGTAAGACTTGAACAAAAATGCTACAAAATTTAACATGAGGTTCATTAAGAGATTTTTTTGTTTTTGAACACATATATTGTCAATTTACTAACGATGAAGTCAGAATTAAGCAGACTGACTAAGTTTCGAAATTATAGCTTTTTGAAGTTCTGATATTATGCGGATATTATAACATATAAATGTTATGTTATACAACTATATTGTCTTTAAAGTATATTTGTTGTGGTCTTTATCGTTTGTTCCTATTATCATTCTAAGAGTTTCGAGTTCAAACCAGTGTGACGAAAAAAAAATATTTGGCATTTTTTTTCCCTTTTACTTGAACAAGGAAAAAACAAATGCATTTTGGATGTACTTAGAGACCCAAGTCATCGCTCCCTTGGACTATTTTAATCGCGAAATACCCCTTGATTTGTTGTGTAAACTTTTCTATCACAAATTTTGCTCTAATGTATCAAGTGTAGCTTATTTTCTGAAACGAAATTTTAATTGTAATTTAGAGAAGTCGTTTTTTTATTTTTTAAGAAGTTTTCATAGTATTTTGAAAAAAACTGGTATAAAATATCGGAAAAACTGATAATGTACCAAATGTAGGTATTAGTAAAAAAAATATTTTATGGTTTTTTTTTTTTTTTTTGTGTACAACTTTTCTACCAGCAGTTTTGCTCCGTTTTAAAATTATAGTACTTTCTCTGAACAGGAATCTGACTGAAGGTACTTTATGAAGGTAATTTTTTTATTTTCCCAAGTGTTTCCCCAATAAATGAGAAAAGTCAGAAAATAAACATAGGAAAATCGGTACAATATTAATCAAATATTATTAAGGAAAATATATAATGCCTATTTAATTATTTAACTATAATATGATATGTATATATTGTTGACGAAGCAACACTATTAACTGAACTCCGCTCAGAATCGTTTTTCGTTAGCAATGGTTAATCTTTGCATACAGGTATATTTAATGTATATTAAATTATCTTTAACAGTGGCTGCACCCGTCTCCATTATCCTAGGATGTCTTTTTTAATTTTCGTTTTGTACGATGTGCCTCTATGGAACTTATCTGTTTATTTCTAATTCTATGAAACACTGTTCTATTTTTTGTAAACGTGAATAGTGAGTAAAAATATTTGATTTTAAATCTCTTTAAAAAGTTTTAGTTTATTTTGAATATTAAATACTATTTCTCCTAGGTCATAAATTAGTAAATTTATTTATTTCTCTTAACCAATTAGAATTTGAAAGTTAAAACTTTTATTTTTTTCTATTAAAAATGCTTTGATCGATTCTAGTAATTAAAAAAATTCGGTTGAAATGTTATTAACTATCTAACAAGACAATACCATGGGACATCGTCTTCTATGTCATCTAGAAAGTTTTTAACTGACTATGTGTTTTTGCAATTGAACGTATGTAATTTACAATTTTTAAAACAAAATTCATTATATGATCATATTTAAAATATTTACCACTTAGGTGTTCTCTATGGATAATACAATGAATAGGTATAAAATCTGGGAGATAAGTATCATTTTTTAAAAGTAGAAATATTCGTAATTTTGTTTATGTATGTAAATAGTTGGTAACTTTATCAAGAATAACAAAAACAAAAATTATAACCCCATGTGAATTTAAGTAACCTAAGTAATTTTACCCTCAATCTCCAGGCTTCACAATAGGTGGTGCGCGAGTCACTTAAAAAAGAGAAAGAAAACGTAAACAAATTGTAGAAAACAGTCCCACAATTAACAATACAAAATATTCAGTATTAAATTTTGAAGGGAGTGAGAAATGTATAGTTAAAAAATGACTTTTATTTTTTTTTTACTTTAGACAACTTTTCTACCAGCAATATTTTGCTCCAATTTACAATGATAGCACTTTTTCTAAAAGAAAATCTGACTAGTGAAGTCAGATTTTTATTTTCCTAAGAGTTTTCCCAATAAATGGGGAAAAAACATAGGAAACCGGGCAAAGGGAAAATAAGTTTGAATATTATTAGAGAAAATGTTGAATGTATGTGTAATTATTTTACTGTTATATGACATGTATATATGGTTGACAAAGCAACATTATTATTATAATCGAACTCCGCTCAGAATCGTTTTTTTGTTTCGTACATTATATACATTCAATTTTCCCTCCACTACCTTCTCACCTACAACATTGGCTCACCCACGTGCGAAATATGTCTGTATTTTTTAAGTAGTTATTTTTACAAACATTATTTGCTACCTTATGTACTACCTTAAGAGGTAGTAACCTCTTACACTAAATCCAAAAATAATATGACAAATTTAAGTATATTCTATTCTATAAATATATATATATATATATTATTATTATTTTGTTAATTACTAACACATTGTATGTGCCTATATCATTAGTGATTTTCCTATTGATTCAAAATTATTTCATATTCAGAATAACAAATCAATGTTTATATTTCAAACATTCGATTAATTGATTAATTATCATCAATTTCTAACATTTTTTCCAAAAAAAAAAAAAAAAAAAAAAATACTAACTTTTCTAACTTTGCTTGATACCTATACTAACAAATAATATTTATGCATTTCAAATAATCAATATTACACATATTAATTTATTTTATATTTTGTAGGTAAATACAAAAATAGATTTAACGTTTGCGCATTCGTATTGGTTATTGGGAGAAATCGTATTAGGAAAAAAAAAAAATAAAAAAAAAAATAAGGTGATTTTTCGAAACCGTTTGATAGCTATCCCAAACAACTGTAGGCTGTTCCGTCGTCGTCGTCGTTTTTGGAAACCGTGTATTGTTAATAACAATAATAATAGTAATAATAATAATAATAATAACAACAACAACATCGTTTATGGTGGACAAGTTTCGTTGTCATGTTATAATAGACAAAAATAATCTGAAATATTATATTATTTATTGAGCCGATACAGGTTGCAACTGACAAACGCCGGTGATAGTATACAAACATTATAAACGGTTAGCGTTTACAAAAGCGTCGATAAAACGTCGCCACTGCCGTTATCATGAAACCGAAACCGCGCAATCAGAGCCCCGCGTCCGTGAGCGGCGCCAACGACGGTTCTATGAGAGCCATGCCGGACACCGGGAACGTTCTTCTGGAAATGATGCGGCATGTCTTCGAACTGTTGACTGGGCCGATTGTGGCCGATTTCATGTCTTCACTGGAAACTGTAGCTGCCCGCCGTCAACGGAGTCGGTTTTTGGACTTCTTGTTGGCCATAGCGCACAAGACGCATATTTTACTCTCGAACCACGACCCGGAAGTCCGGAACGCCGCCGAATTACTCACCGACGTCACGGCCCACTTGATCGTCCGCTTGTATTACTAATGCCCGCTCTGCCCTGGTTTTCCAGCCGAATCCAAAGAACATAATGTAGACATAGTTTGGTTTTTATTCGTGTGTAAATGTACTGTTTTACATTTTTCTTTCTTTTTTTTTTTTTTCAATTATATCTGTATGTAAATTTTGGCACATATAAACGCGATTTTTAGCACCCCCAAAAATACCCAATAAGTAAATTTTATCCATGTATTTTCAAGCAGAACAAAATACAAAATACAAGTTATTAGTTAAAAATATTAATACGTTATCATATAAACAATTTTAAATAAAATGTGCAGTTGCCTAGGTATAAATATCGTGGAAAGTGGATTGTAGGCACTGTACCCATTGCCTCTATGGGTCTGCGATGTATCTATAATTTTCCTAGTTGCGCTAGCTACCCAATCTTACGTCTGGGTGGCATGTTTTGCAAATGCAATTGTTGTACTTGTTATCATTTCTAAACGATACCAGAAAAAGATGGCCAAGATTAAACGTAGATATCGTCGTATATTGAACATTTTTTTTAATGATCTTATGTGAACTATTTTAGTATGAACTAAATTAATTTGATTCGGGAAATCACAAAGCTCTATACTTAAAAAATTTTATTTTTCATATTTTCGCATACTTCGAGGTTTAAGTCCTATTAATTTCAATTTGACCTTTAAAACATAAAATAATAAAAGAAATTTAAAAAAAAAATCATAAAAGAATAATTTAACTCTTAAGAGTTTGACTCCCACTATTTTGAAGTTGACATTTTTTTTTCCGTAATATAATTTTGGATTCCGAGTGAAGTAAAGAATGTCTTTGTTTTACAATGATTTACTTTACTGTCAGAAATATCGCTTTGATTTACATGGGTAACACTTTTTAAAAATAAATTTTATTTGGGTGATACATTTTTAATTTTCCAAGAGGTTTTCATAATAAATTATGATTATAATTATTAATATATATATTAATATATATTAATTATAATTATTATAATAATTAATTATTTTAAGTTTTGCTTTTTTGATTATAATTCAGTAAAAATTCTTAGGGACTTGAAATTTTGACAGGCGTGGTAAAATTTTCAAAATCTTTGACCCATTTTTTTTAAACTATTTAGTGGCATTTTATATTTGAGAGTTTTTACGTAATTTTTATTTAATAGAGGTCGATAAAACCATTAGAACAAACAGAAATGCTTGTAAATTTAACAATTTAATTTTTAAGCCGTACTTAACGGTAAAAAAAACAAAAAAAATTTTACTTATCAAATTTTGACGAAAATCGTAAATGTTCGTAGTCTTTTAATACAATATATTGTATAATAAAACTGCTCAGGATCGTTTTTCGTTAATAATGTTGCATACATTAAATTACAGATTACTAGTTGTATTAAATTAAGTGTGTACTAAGTGTGACTAGTTGTAATGTAAAATCATTCATTTAATTTTTATTTATTAACTTTTTTTTTTTAGTAAGCTGGTGATGATATATTTATCACCATATAATTTGTATTTTTTTTCTCTACTTGTAAACCATACTCAAAAAGTTTTCTTAATTTTGCCGACTGGCGTTTACAAATAAATAAATCACCTAAAACAGTGTGGTATTATTTAATTAAATTAATAAATGTTTTTTTTTTTAATTCCTTCATGTCTAACTCGTCGGCACTGCGTTCGTTCGATGTGTCATCCAAGTTGTGTCCCACAGGTCCGCCCGAAACCCGGAATAGTGCTAGACACCACCGAATCGTATTCTAGACTAGAGTCTATTTAAGTTATTATTAAGTTCTAATCCTACGTCTACTGAATCATATCCCCCCTCTCCCGAAAATCAACTTCTTCCATTTCTTCAGCATTTGCCATCCACGGTCGGTGCCCGTCGTTCGTAATTGTGTCGTTTTTGTTCTTCAATTGTTATACAATGTATAAGAAAAGATTAGTTGACCACAAGTTGTCCGCGAAGTAATCCGGCTTATTATGTTGCCGACTACGGCGCGGCGTTCAGTTTTGTCGGGTTACATATCAAACCGACGACGTGTAATTTGAGTTGCCTACAAACTTCACACCGGTGTTCGGTCTTTAGGCGAACAAATGAGTTTTCAAAACAATAAAATTCAGAAAATCTGGAAACAAAATTATAGGAATAACGAGAAATGTCTACGGCATACCACGGCGTTTTAAGCGTTTTTTTTTTCTTGTAGAAATTGTATAAGAAGATTTTCTATGCTTAATTGTTGGCATTTAGATGTTGGGTTAAAATATTTAGGTAGGTGTGGAAGTTAAATTTGATAACTAAAATTATTTTATACACGGCGAACCAATTTTATCGATTCTAAATAATTATTAGTTAACGGTTCCATAAATTCCATAAATACTGTACTAAGAATATTACATACAAAATACTATCCAACTGTGTTGTTGATATCAACATTTTTAATAAAACAAAATAAATGCTACATGCATGTTGCACATGGGCTTCATTTGGGCGGGTTCGGTTCTAATTACGCAGAAAAAAAAAAATCACAAAATTAAATGGTTAAAAACTAAGTTAAAATTAACTTAGCTTTTTAGTTAAGTTAAAATTAACTTTCAAACTTGTACGTGACCGGCCTTGTGATTCGATTGCGGACCCACTTCATAAACTATAATTTAACTAGCTAACAAGGTGCTAGACAAGATATTGTCGGAGACCATTATTCAACATAACCATACGATATCTGTACAACTGATACAATGTAACAATGGCCCCGATAATGCACGCAATCCGAAATTTTAATATAATATTATATTAACCTACCCATAAAATATTATCCATTCAACGTGACCATCCGTTTATAAAGGGAATTTATGTGTGCTTTGTAGCTGACACGCGGCGCGCACACGCGTGCAGTAAACGCGGCATAATATTATAGAAGACCGTGGCCACAGCGCGCGCACTAATCAGGTAGGAATGTCCGTTTATAAAATATTCAAGTCTTACGAATACGTATATATTATATATATATACATAAAAAAAAAAAAAAAATGCTGTAATAAAATATTAAAAATATACGTATATAATATATTTATGAATGGAATGCGTTTGCAGAGGGAGCGAGTGAGAGAGAGAAAGAGGTTATGTGCGGTGACCACTGTGTGCGCCGCGCACGCACGCGCACACACACTTCGTACTACCTAATATAACAACTGGTCCCGATCTAACAAGTTGTTTGACAAATGGTACTCGCAGACCCGACGCGTACCGGTCGTCCGTCATTACCGGATGCTAATAGCCCGACATTTATTTTAACACGATTGTTTTCCCGTTCCTAACTTAACCTGTACATAATATAATATACACATGATCGATATAGTTGCTATGATAATGCCGCTCGACCGTCGCCGCAAAGGCCGACGCAAGAAAAAATTCGGGGGCAAGGGGAGGCGGATATTGCAATAAAAAAAAAAAAAAAACCAATCACATTTGATCTTTTTTATATTATTCTAAATACGAATCAACGGGGGATATTTACTCCTCCCGAATGATTTAAAATTTATGTTGTGTGTCGCAAAATATCGCGCACGTTGTTATTGCTATAATATTATTTTTCAGACGACAGTCCCCCGGAAAATAAATGATGCTTTACCCAGAGACAATCAGATCGATTGATTGTTATTTTTTAGTGCGTATACCCGAGTATAAAAATCGTATGGATTTAGTAGGTTGTACGCATACGAGTAATATAATAATGTATGTTCTGGCTATTTATCACATATTTAACAATATTTTTTCTCGATCTTTTAAATATAAAACTGTACCAAAAACAGTTAACCAAACGGTTTAAAAAAAAATATATAAAATAAAAATAATAATTTAGCCCATGATCCCCCCAATTGATACTGAAAACTGATTTGATATTTCGACGATGAAAAATTGATTTGGAATTGAGATGTTGAAAACTAAATTTGATAATGAGACGTTCAATGTTGAGAACCCGGTATTGAAAATGTTGGTAAGCTTAATACTCGAAAAAACATAATTAGTAAAAAAAAATTATATGTTATTTTGATACCGCAACCTTATACTTGAAAAATAGTTTTTCGAAATAAATGTATATTACCGAATAACAACTACTCATAATTAGTTTTGAAAAAAACTTTTTTAAATTACCGTAAAAAATAAATAGGTCAACAATTTTATCTATAATATTATAATATTCTGTTTACCGGAAACAGATGCTGATTATATTAAAAACCGTTATAAATCATAGACATACCAAACGGAAATTTTATAAAACCTCAAAAAAAAAAAAAATCAGTCGTAATTTTTACACATAAATAGTTGGACGTAACGCAATCATTCCCCCGCAATTTTTCATACAACACCGAATTGACGCTAAACCGTGAAAAATTACCTGAGATAATGCAGAGCGGTTGTCCCTAAGCTACAGTATCAATACCGTATTCTAGAATATATCTTTTATCATCGTATGCACTAAGAGCTTTTTTGTTTTGTTCGACGGTATGAATATTATGTTTATCTGTTCTAAAAGTGTTCCATTTTACATAATTTGAATTTTTATTATTTAAACAATTTATAAAAATCATTAAAACATAATTAATTTTTAGCTATGGGTTTTTTCACACCTTTTGCTTTTTTAATTTCATTTTTATTTTTGTAATATCATGCTCACACAACATAAGATTATGCATGTATAATTATTTATCATTTATATTATTACAAAAATGTAACTAAAAAATTCAAATAAGGCCGGGTACTTGGTATTTTACAAAATGTAAACAATTTAATATGCATAACGGATCGTCGGCTATTCGAGAGGGATACATACAAGTTTATCTACAAGCAAAGTAATTTAAAATGTGTCAAATACAGTAGAACTCCATGCCATCTGTTGTGGCCCTTTGAGGCCACTGCCGTCTCAGTTATACTATTGTAAATCTCGTTCTTATAATTAGATTATTAGTTATTTAATGTCGACATCGACGCGAAGGCCATACGGTCCGTTTTTATAAGCCCATAAATTCTAACGGTTTTTCTTGTATCATTCTAAAAGAACCCATATCCGATTTATTATTTTCTTTAGAAACATTTCCATATGAATCAAATAAAAGTAAGCGATAGGCAATCAACATTAACCGGCCCTTTGATGACACCGCCGTGCCGTCCTCGTTCTCCGGCACTAGATACCCTTATAAGTATTTCTATACAAATTTAAAATCAACATGTAACACTATTTTTCTTTTATGGATGACCCTTTTTTATTTTTTGTTTATTTAAACACGTAAAATCTAACGATTCTTTTTTCAATTGAAAATCGAGCGTCTTGACCGCTCGAAAAATCCCAAGACGAACATTCTGTCGAGAACCCTGCGCACAGTTACAATTACGCTCCATCAACTTCTTTCGAAAATCTCTCCAGAATAGCTAACTCCAACTATAATCACTCGTGTTTGATTTATTTATTAATTTATTTTATAATTCAAACTTCTGTTTTCTTAATTTAAAGATTATCGTTTTTTATCTGAGCGCACACAGGTGCAAAGTGTTAATTAATTAAATTAGTTTATTTTTATTGAATTTTGACTGCCGTCCAACGACTCCAGGATCACGTGAGGATATCTATAGGTATACACCCTAGCGTTCCAACACCGTGGGCAGGTAAATTAATTTTATTTATATTTATTTATTGATCTTGTCACCATTCTCGGATTCACGACTCCGTATCTCCTTCAAACATCAGAAGCAAGGTAGTAATATAATTAGTAGACTGAACTTTTATTATGTTCAAAAATAAATCATTCTTTGTAGTACCAAAAACTAGATTAATTACTTTAAATTATATAGGTACATTTTTATATCTACTCCTCTATATTTTATTCTTTGTACGTACTTCTATATAATATCCTATTATTTTAATTCTTTTTGTCTCCCATTACTACATATAGTGTCATAGTTCCCAACTAACCTTATTATTTTAAATTTCTTATTTTTTGTATTACTACATTTTTAAATACTTTAAATGTGTATAATTTAGATTTTAACCCAACAAATTCAGTTATTATTTGACCATTAAGCTCGCCTTTAAACTCGCCTGGAACATTTTTTATTTATTCGGGGTATTCCATATTTATATATTTATTATTCTCAAGATAATCTGAAAAATCAAATTCATTTATAAGTTGTTTATTGTTTTTTACATCTATATAAAAATCATCAGTTTGTAATTTCAACTATTAAAGAATCTGTGTCTGTGTATAATAGTCTAATGTTTTTTCCCTGTATTTTTTTTCAATACATTTTACTAAAAATCATGCATACTTGCTTTAGATAAATCTAAAATACACATTCCTAAATAAATTGGTTGTTTTAAATTAACCATATTATTTTTAATATGTACAGTTACTAAGTTTTCTGTAAAAATAGTCGCTCGATTAAAATTTTGTTTTCTGTAATTCTTCATTATAGAAACTTCCTTTAATTATTTCATTATTCGAGTCTTTAATTTTGTAAGTAATTGGATTTGTATTCAATACTTCTGTAACAATAAAAATTTCTTGTGTCCAATTAGTGTTTCAACTTCTTTATTCGAACCCTATCATTAATCTTGTATTTAATTTTTGATTTAGATATTTCATTAGGGAATAATTTAATTAAAACTTTTCCTTCATTAGATACGTTTACTTCAAACGGCATCATTCCAATTTTTCAATGAATATTCTTGAAATTGTATTCGTTCAATAAATCTTGTAAAATATCAACCCATCTTTTATTTTTTTGAACTTCAAACTGTATTCTCGTTTTACCGTTTAAAGTTCTATTGAAACGTTCAATAATTGCAGATTTCTCTTAGTCTTGTGTATGATATAATTTGATATTATATTTTGCTAACATTTCCTTAAATTGTTTATTTACAAATTCTGTTCCTTTATCAGTGTGAAGTAATGTTGGTGAATTGTGTTTCTGTAGTTTAGCTCTTTTTATTATTTCTTCAAAATATTCTTTTTGAAGAGATTCAGCTCGAGCAAATTTTGAAAAAGTATCTATAACATTAAACATATACTGATAACCCGAATTTTCATCACCAAAATTTCTCATTATAACTTAAGGTGCAGCCCATATATCATCAATACCATGTGTTTTTATTTTCCTTTTTGGAAATCGAGATCTTACTGGTTTATGAAGTTCTTTTGCAATATTTAGTTTACCCTTCTTTTTTTTTTTTTAATTTTATTTTAATTTTTTTTTTTTCTACGGGAGTTTTAATAAATTTACTTTTGTTTGTTTTACATTTTAAACACTATGTTGAAATTCTAAAAAGCCCATTTAGTAGAATAAAAATGCCGATCCTGGTTCTAGTGTTGGTGCTGGTGCTGGTGTCATCCCCGCCACTAACTGCAGCTGCTCGGTACTCCACCACCGCCACTCACCATAGCACGCATCGCTCGCTACTCCATCCCCGTCACTTACCGCAGCCTGCGCCGCTCGCTATTTCATACTCTGTCTCGCAGCGCAACCCACGAACACACACACACACACACACACACACACACAAACAGATCTACATATCAGCCAGACTAATATTATTACCATAGATATTATCAACTCTTATCAATATATGTTACCATTAGTTTACAATGTTATCACGCTCATTATTACAGACGATAACGCACTGGTTTTTATTGATGGATATTATCAATTATACACACTACTGCCTACATTTTTATCACAGATATTATCAATTTACGTTACGATTTAGTATTATATATTTAATTAACCATCTTATTTTAGTGTGTGTAGGGATTTAATCCAACTGTTAGATCAGTCACGACTGCATCTTTGCTGATATATATTAATATGTTCATATAACCATAGTCATTATCAGTTAAACAAAGAATACTACTACTACTATTATAAATATGTTTATAACAGGACAGCGATAATAATATAGAGACGTAATCCTCCTATCCCACCGTCACCGCAGCTACAGCCTGCGACGTGCCTCTCTCCACACACACACACATACACACACACAAACACACACACCTTTTTGTATGAATACTACTACATATTGTATCCATACACACGCGCTTACAGAGGATTTATGGATATATTTGATGAGTTAATGTAAATAAAAACTAATATCAGTAGGTATGAAAAAAATATATATTATTTATTGAAAAATAACTTCGCAAAGACATTCTTATCCAAATCTTCTATCCCATCGCAATGTATGTTAATTTCAGAGGAAGTGTCTTCCCCCCACTTCATGAATGGGTTGAAAGAATCAACTGGCTGCCCACTTTCGCTAACAGCGTTAGATTCTTCATTCTGCCGAGTCTGAATAAAAATTGGTATTAATCGTATACACATATATTTGTTCAAATGTATACATATCATATCTCCGTACGGTTGGTCATTTTCCTCTACTTCACTAGACTGTGAGCTATTGGGAGAATGTTCTAGCTATATAATTAATTCGTATTAAATTTTCGTTTATAAAATCTTACTATCCCAGTAATATCTAGCAATAGCATTTTCCAACTTAAGTAAATTAATAAGAATTAAAAACATACCAAACCATCAAATTCGAGATAAGTATAATCCCTGCCATCGTATTCCTACGATTTTATTTTTAGTAACTCAAATTTTTTTCAAATTAAATCATAATATAATTTTATATAATGTAACTGTACGTTTTTTTTCCTCTGCAATCAGATAGTTCACATAGTTGATATGCCCCGAAAAGCCTCCTTGCGAACTTGAGTTTGTAATCTAAATATAATAATATCGATAATACGATTAATAATATTAACTGGATTAAATGTACGTACTTTTGCTGTTGGTATAAGCGATTAATTTATATTATGATATGAAAAAAGTGATTTCTTCTGATATTATTCGCTATATTTAAAAAAAAAAAAAAAACCAACAAACTATATGTTTTGTGTTAACTAAACACATTTTTCTCCGTCGATGGTGTTCGATTTAATTGCCCTTGATATTCGTTGACGTTTAAATATGACTCGGATATTACTAGGTATTTAAATAAGCAAACATGATATGTATTTCAAATTATTTGCAGTTTTTTTTTTCAATTCTCAAAATTATTTTTTTCATCTACTCACTTTTTATGTTGACTATGAAAAATTTGTTGTTAGTAGGTATATCGATTTAAATAAAACACCAAGACGTCAGTAGTATTGTTTCTTCGTGTCTGTGTAACAAGTATCTGCGCGTGTATATTATCTACGTTCTTAAACACGTTATATTTGAGTTATGGTCCGTTATAATTTTTTTCTTTTTACGTGATTAAAATATTTATAAAAATACATAAGTGTAATTTTGCCAGGTATAGCAAAACTTTTTCCGCTCGGCGCAGCATGATGCGCCAAGTAAAGACCCACGAGGGTGTGAAGTTTGCCTGAAATTTGTGCAATAAATTGTTTATGCGAAAAGACACTCTCGCTTATCATATGGAAGGAGTACATCGCCAAGGTAGAACTGTGTCGTGCATTAATAAGGACATCCAAGGTATGTATTCAATTTTTTAAAGGACTGCGAAAAGAATAAAAATAAATTAATCATATTTTTAGTTGACATTAGCAAAAATTTCAAATTGAACCAGACATAAATGGAGATGTTATCCCAACACCGTCCTCTACCAAAAGTATTTATTTAATACGATTAATATTTATGAATACCTTATTATGATTTTTTTTTTTTTTGCAGTCGATAGTTATGGTAATGACCTAATAGAGATTGCACCGGGAATAAATTTAGATAATATTCAAGCCGGCCCGTCTACTAAAAGTAATTTACACACACGTGTATTATCATTAGGTATATAGATAATTTATTTAATTCAATTTTTTATAGATATTTCTCCTACACAGTCAGTGCCCACTGCCAACAGGCAAATTGAAGACGTGTGGGGAGATTTTAGTCAATTATAAGTCGATGATTTATTAGAAAAAGAAAAGGAACATTTTAATAATGAGAATACTGCTAAGCCGAAACCTAATAAAAGCATTCGTATGACAGCAATAACGAAAACAGGATTCAATTCACCGCTGTCGGCATTCAATGGTACGTCTCAATTTCATTTCAAAAAAAATATTGAAAATGTGCGCGAGTATAAAGAATTTTTAGACTTGTTTAAGCCCGAAATGTATGAGATTCTTTCAAATGCTGTGCAAAAATGTCCGTTGAAGTACAATTTGAAAATAGAAGCGACATAAAAAATACCGAATACAGAAATAACTCAGGATAGGTCATTTAAAATTGAAACACGAAATTTGTTTTTAGCTGATGATATGAACTCATTACTAGAACTAGATTTGGTAAAAATATTAGGAGAAATTGAAGAAATGTCAAAAGGTATCGGCTATTGGTTGAACCGTATAGATGGAATATTAATGAATATAAATAATTATACACCCTTAAAGGGATCATCATTCATTCCGCTTCCGACATACGTCGAAAATAAAAAAGCTACTATAAATGTAAAAAACGATGACGAAAAATGCTTCAAATATAGCTTGCTTGCCAAATACGTAAACCGAACAAATGACACAAAAGTCGAACAAAATTATGCTTGTGTAAAAGATAGGTATAATTTTTCTATGATGGCATACCCTGTTTCTTTTGAAGACGTACACAAGTTTGAAAAAGAAAATCCGGGAGTTTCAATAAACGTGTATAGTTTGAATCAAGGAAAGTCCGCATACAAATATAATATTCAAGAAAAAAATAAAACAAATAAGAAATTTTAAATAAATCAAAATCAATATTTAGTAAATCCATTAAAAGTTTGCGACGAAGGAAAATACGACCACCACGATCTTTTACTTTCTGGTGACAGAAAGAGCAAGACGTACTATTGTAGGATTACGAATTTAGGCAAATTTGTAGGAGCCCGAATGAGTCGTCATGGACATAGTGTTGTATTGTGCAAACGTTGCTTCAAGTGTTATTCAAAAAGCAAAAGTCCATTTACCGCAGAGCATCGGCTTAGGGAACATACAATTTATTGCAATAAGAATAAACCGTTAGCACCAATTTTACCGGCACCAAAGACATTTGTGAAATTTGAAAATTGGGGGGCCACTAATAAACATACATTTGTTATTTACGTGGATTTTGAGTATTTATTGGAAAAAGAACTAGACGCACAGCAAAATAATAATACAAAAATAATCCACCACCATGAAGTAATGAACTTTTGTTATTATATAAAAACGTCAGATGACGTCTCGAGCGAATTATTGGAGCAACATAACATAGAGAATGGTCCGGTTGTATTTAGGGGAAATTCGAGTATGGACAAAGGTGAAATAGTTGCAAATTTATGGACGAAATTGTTAAAGTCGCCCAAATAATTGAAAGTGTATTAAAAACCGACGCACCACTCATAATGACCGAGGAAAACAATAAGAACCACAGGGCGATAGCCGACCGCGGAGTGTGATCTTTGTGCGAAAAAAAATTCAACCGTGAAAATCTACCGGTTCGCGATCACAATCATTTAAACGAGACCTACCGAGATACTGTTTATATTAAATGCAATCTTTTAATGGATCAACCCCAATTTGTTCCGTGCTTTTTTCATAATCTTATGGGTTATGATTCGTATTTTATTGTTAGGCAATTAGGAAACGACACGAAATCGATCTCAATAATTCCTAATACAGAAGAAAATTTAATATCATTTACAAAGTACATTTCACCTAAATTTCAAAAAAGATTTCTTGATCCATGCCGCTTCATGCATTAAAGTTTGAAAATACTTGCCAGTAATTTAACTCGAAGTGACAAATCTAAATTTAGAGAGACGGCAAAAATATTCGCATCTAATGACATGGAATATGTGACTCAAAAAGGGTTTTATCCCTTTGAGTACACAGATAGTTTGGAAAAATTGGATGAGCCGTCACTACCACCCAAAGAAGGATTTTATAATAGGTTGTTAGAGGCGCATATTAAAGACGAGAACTACAAATATGCAGAACGTGTATGGGAACATTTCGGGTTCAAAACTTTAGGAGAATATAGCGATCGGTATATGAAAGTTGACGTGATGCTACTGTGCGATGTGTTTGAGAATTTCAGGAATTTATCTATGGACACGTATGGCGTAGATCTAAATTACTATTATACGGCACCTGGCATGGCGTTCGACTGTGCGCTAAAAATTACGAAGGTGGAACTCGAACTGTTACCTGATTACAACGAAGTTATAATGATGGAAGCGGGCACCCGTAGTGGACTAACACAAGCTGTGAAACGGTATACAAAACCAACAACAGTAATGTTCCTGGCTATGATCCTTCGAAACCGGAATCAACGGTTGCTTATTTGGACGCAACGAATCTGTATTTATTATCGATCATATTATTATTATTATTCATTTCATTTAATTTAATTATTCTAGGTACGGTTGGGCTATAGTGCAGTATTCATCAAAGAATGGATTTGAATGGTATGACAAGGACTTGAGTATAGAAATTATTTTAAGATTGCTAGATGGAATGGACGATACTTCTCCGGTAGGGTTGATTTTGGATGTAGACATAACATATCCAACATCACTACACGATGATCATAATGATTTGCCATGGCTTCCTGAGAGAATGGTACCACCGGGTTCCAAAATAAATAAACTTGTTGCGAATTTAAACGAAAAAACAAAATAAGTAGTACACTATAGGGCTTTAAAGCAGGCCCTGAGTGCAGGATTGGTGTTAAAAAAAGTATAATAAATAAAACAAATTTCCAATATATCATATTATTGTATTTAATAAAACATTTTTTTTAATAGGTGCTTGCAAAGTATATTGAGTTAAATACCACCATAAAAAGAAATGCGAAAAAAGATTTTGAAAAAAAAAATAAATAATGCTGTTTTCGGTATATTATTAATTTTTGTAATTTAATTTTTTTTTTAATTAGATGTTATTTTATAGGTAAAACTATGAAAAATGTGAGAAACCGTATGCAAATGAAGCTGATATCAGATGAAAAACAGTGTGTTAAGGTAATAAATAAAATCAATTTCAAAAGTATTACTAGGTATCACGACAATCTAGTTGCAATGCATCTTCATACAGTCGAGTTAAAGTTTAATAAACCGATATATATTGGATTTTCAATTTTGGATGTATCTAAAACACTGATGTATGATTTCCACTACGGTTCTATAAGACAACAATTTAACAAAAATATTGAACTGATATATATGGATACGGATATATATGGATAAAAAAAAAATTAATCTCATACTGTAGTAATACTAAAAACTATGTAATTATTGCAGATTCACTTATATACGGTTTAAAGAACCTTGATTTTTACAAAGAGATGAAACAAAATCAAAATTTGTTCAAACGAATGGACACGTCAATCTTTCCAACCGACCATCCTTTCTATTGCGTTGACTGTAAGAAGATTCCAGGAACTTTTACAGATGAGACAGCCGGCAAACTTATTCGGGACTTTGTCGCCTTGTCGACCCAAGTCAATGACCGGAGCTCTACTTTTCATGTGCTTATTTAGTATTACGACTTTTGAATATAAATATATAAGTTTATAACATTATTATAATTGGAACAAAGATAATTATTTTACTATAAATATTACCATTTGTAGTATAATAAATCTATCGTGCAGATAATAAAAAAAAAAAAAAAAACTCGATATCGTTTGTTGTTATCGTTTTTAAATTTTCCGATAAATCTTTTGGGAATCTAGAAAAACGTTTTTTTTTTTTTTACAAAATATGAAACTAAAACATAATTTTTCATCGCGAAAAAATCGATGTAGAGTAAAGTGTAGACCAAAATAATGTAAGACATTCTTGTAAATCATTCATAATATTATGTAGTAAAAATTATTACTACGATTTCGTGGTTTTAACCTATATTAAAAACTGCGCGGTTTTGTCCGGTACTGAAGGAAGGGTGTGTGGTTTTCGGATACAACCTAAAATGTATTGCACGGCGAACGCGAATGGAGAACACACACGCACACCGCACCTTTCCGACCGCGATGAATTCCCGCCGTGTCCATCGCGTTTCCGGCTATATTTTAAAATATTATATAATAATAGAAATAATGTTATCGTGCAACAACAAATTATGCGTAAATTTTACACGGGCTGTCAACTGCTCGTCGTATTTCTTAATTCGGGGCGTGCACTCGTGCCGACGGGAATAACGCGTTTGTAGGTGTGACGTGATGTGTGAATAATCCAAGGGTTAAACGCGTTGTCGACTCGGACGAGATAATATTGTAATAATATGCGTCGTGTCAAAATACAATGTTATATCAATAACGGACGTTAAACTTCAGGGTGGCCCGCTTGCATCACCACGACGGTTTTCGCTATTATATAACTTACAGACAGACAGTGCCTGTATACAAGGTTCACAAGGCCCTCGGATATTGTCGAAAAAAAAAAAAATAAATAAAAATTGTATTTTTTTGAAATATTTTCGGTTAACAAGCGACAGAATGCATATTTACATTTTATATTCGCGGAGCGAGGAACGTATTGTTTTACAGCAATTTCGCTCCGATTTTCAAGTCTAGCAATTTTTCTGCAATGAAATCTGACTGGGGTGGTACATTAGGAAAGTCATTTTTTGATTTCCCCAGCTGTTTTCATAACAAATGGAAAAACGGGAAAATTCACGAAATGCATGCACTTCGTAGTTCGCTTTGAACTCCACTCAGAATCGTTTTTCGTTTAATAGTGGCCCACCAAGCAAAAAGTCTTCGCAGTCTTCGACTTATTAAGTATTTCCGTATTTTTTTTTTTTTTTTTTTTTTTGTTATTTAATTATATTATGTATAATTTATTGTGTGCACTGAAATTTCCTTAAACACAATACAAATTTAATTTATTATCGTTATACAACAATATTAACTAAAACTTAGATTAGGTTTATCGTTGCGTACAGGTTTTATGTAAATTAAATTCTCCTCTATGTGGAACGTTTTCAACTTTACACCTACAACTGTGACCCATCCGTCGTCTTTCCTTTTTAATTTTAGATTGTTTTTAATTAAACATTTTTTTTTTTCAAACTTAAAAGAGTTGGGCCTCTTTTAAATTTAAAAGTACTGCGCAGGCCCGAAGTATTTCTTTAAATCGGACAACATCATAGCCTACCTATTATTATTAATAATAATAATATACGAAATTAAATGAAACACGGTTGCAGGTTGATATTGAATTAATAATATTATTCTATGGTAACGCATGTTCTGTAATTCGTTTACAAAAACAATAATGTATTTTTTTTTTTTTTTAAACCATCCCAAAAAAATTATGATATTGGGACCGTAACATATCAAAATTCGATGGTTTTTTTTTTTTTGAAAAACTGTTAAAACGTTGAATATGACATTGAATATTGATGTTATAAAAAAATTATATATTTTTAAATTTTAAATTACCAAATGATTTAATATAAATGCAAATGAATCCCCAAAATGTATACTTTATCATTATAAAAATTGTATTGTAAACACATTCAAATTTTTGCATGACTTGATTTACCGGGTTGTGAAAAATGATAAAAATTTAACATTGCATCGATTATAGTCACATTGAATACCTTCAATTACCTAAACAATAATATTACATTATTAAAATATTTATTTTTTTTTATATTAACTTTTTAACATACTCACTGTAAATTCACTTTGAATTTAACTCTGTAACTATTCAAAAAAATACTTTCACTAGAATATACATTTCAAAACATCGTAAGCCATGACTTGATTAATGAGTATATAGTGCATTCGACTGTAACACGTTTGCATTAGAAAATACTCAATATCCTATTAGGTAATATTATTAGTGTAGGATAATTGATCGAAAATAAGTGAAACTCTAGTTATAGAAATCACGTTAAATGATATTATTATAATATAATAATATTGTGTTGTCAAATTTAAATTTTTTTTATTTTTGTCTCTAAATACAACATAGCTAATACATAATAGTTTTAAGATTTCACATTAAAACATTCGCCAACCAAAAACACCAATAATTTGATTTTCGGACATCGATGCTTAAGATGCCAAATGTTTTATGTCAGAGACACTTTTTTTTCAGTAGAGCTATATTTAGTTTTTATATTCGTTCAAAAAAATAAAAGTTATTGTTAAAGAGAAACCGAAAATGGAATATTTTATTATTATTATTTTTTTTTTATTTTATAAAAGCGTTCACGAGTATTTTTTCTACACATTCGGGTAGAGGTATTTTTTTAATACATTTTTTTGGGAAAAATTTAATTCAACTGCAATGTTCAAATTTAATATTTACGAATAATCTATTTGTAACTAAATTTAAGCAATAATAATTTTATAATCCGGTTATTATTTTCGGTATTATTAGTTTAATAATTGTCACGGATTAAATTTAATCACTTTTATACAATAATTGTTAAAAAAAAAATAATTGTCCTAATCTGTAGAAATAAATCAGAGCTACCAATTAAAAAAGACGTCCTAGGATAATAGGAACGGGTGCAGCCACTGTTATAGGTGTATATTTAATGGTGTCATTTAATGTATACCTGTAAGCAACGATAAACCATTGCTTACGAAAAAAACGATTCTGAACGGAGTTTAGTTGATAGTGATGTTTTGTCAACTATTGTTATATATATTATATTATATTAATTAAGCAGGCTCTATATATTTTCTTTAATAATATTTGTTTAATGTTGTATCGATTTCCCCGGTTTCCCTAAGTTTTTCCCGGTTTTCGTATGTCTTTCCTCAGTTTTTCACATTTGCTGAGAAAACTCCGGAGAAAATTGAAAAACGACATCTCTAGTACTTTAGAACCTCCCCAGTGAAATTTCTTTTTAGAAAAATTGTTATCGTTATAAGCTTATGCTCTACTTAGAATCTAAAAAAGTACGTTGTACTCTGTCTGCGAGTACCGAAAGTGTGAAAATCATCTAGCTGAAATATTAAGCGGTACCTACCTCATATCATGTACACACGCGGTGTAGCTATAAGTATGAAATAATATGTACATTGTACTTATGAATTACTCTGTTTCAAAAAAAATATTATTATTTATTTTGTTAATCTGTGAACAAATAATACAAATTACTGAAACTACGATAAAAAATATATTTAACAATACGTATTATATTGTGTTACATAAAAGTAAAGTATCCGCCGAAAAATCAATATGTACATATATATAATTATTATTGTTTGTTATTATTATTATTATTATATTCAGTAAAACCTTCTTCAAAGGATACTTTTTAAGACGGAAACCTTCTTATAATAGAAAATGTCTGTACATCTCCATACATAAAACTATACACAAGGAAAAGTTAGTTGGTTCCAAGTTAAAAGGAAGTTTTACTGGATTACACTTTTTTTACACGCGTGTATCCCTCACCTAATTACCAATAATTGATTCCTAACACTATGATGGCATGTCACTCTACAACTATTGACTGAAGAAGCTTATGAGCATAGTAATTGGTAACACAATCTGAATGTGAATAATAATTTAAGAAAATTAGATTCGCTACTATTAAAAATTGTGTTAAAAATTATTTTAATTTTGTATTGTCAAATTTTTTTATATTTCTATAATTCTGTATATATTTTCAACAAAACTAAATAAATATCTGAATTATTATTTCAACCACAAAATGTATAATGTTGTGAAAATGGGTTCAAATCTCAAATATTTAATGTGTTTACTCTATCGATTACCATAATATGATAATAAATTAATTGGTTAAATAACTTGGATTGATAATTTATTACAATCTCTTTGAATTTATGTAAACATACAAAGTGAGATAAAGATCTTTACAAACAATTTTGGAACATTGTTGCATTTTCCATCAGGTTTAATAACACTGAATCCAAAATTGGTTAAATAAGTTGTTTTTTTTTTTTTTTACAGCTACGAAATGCAAACTTATATCATAACTTGAATAATTTGAAAAGATATCATTTCAATATATTGTAATTAATATACTTATATATATATATTTTTTAAAAAATTGAAGTAAAAGCAAAAAAAAAAAAAAAAAACAGGAAAACTCTAGAGATCAACACAAAAGATCACCATCATCGTAACAAAATTGAAGATCTTGGGCACGCATCGCTAACTGTTAGTTAATTTGTATTTTTATCTTGTATTCATAGCAGAAACAGATTTAATTTATTTATATATATTTTGATACTATAATTAATAAAGGCCGAACATAAAGGATATGTAAATATTATTGTGACTTATTTTCTAATTATTTAATTATAAAAACATTTCATAATATTTTGAAGATGTTTTTTTCATAATTTTAAAATATTGATTTAACATTTTAATTTAATTGGGAAACTGGCCATTTGAGTATTTATATATATTTAAAAAATATTTGTTTACTACTTGGAAACATTGTAGATAATATTTGTCGGTAAATTTATTCAATTATGTGCAGAAAAAAATTCTAAGCCCAAACCAAAGAAACATTATTGGTTACATTTTCGTGTTCAGTAAAATGTTTAACAATATGCGGATTATTATAATTACTACAGCAGATTGCACTGTAGTTATAAGTATTTTGAACCAAATCAGGGAGAGGAGTGGGGAAGAAATTATAACTTCTTTTGATCGTTATGTCTCTAATGTGGAAACAAAGTTTTATTGCGTACTTTGTTGAAAACGCAAAATTCGATAACTTTTGAAGAAAAATGTCACACATTTGTTGCCAGCAATGTGAAAATTGCCTACGTTTTCTTTAGTCTGGGCGCAGTCATATGGACCTAAAACACGGTTTTGGCATGATAAAGTAAAACATTTTTGGTCGTTATTTTTGTAATACTCTGTGACTATCGTTGTGCAGTAGTAGTACGTGACACTAGCCCACAAATTCTTCCGTAATCGATAATATAACGATAATAATACAAATAATATCAACAACAATGTGGACACGGGGCAGTATATTAATTTTAAACCCGGACGGATATTATAATTTATAATAATAATAATACAAACGTACATCTATCTGTTATCTATATAGTTGCTCTGCGGGCGGTCCGTCGAGACTTCTGCCGACCCAGACTATTTCGATGGACAAAAAAACCACACGCACAGCCGTTTGCACCCCGCGATGAGTATTTATTCAAACACCTGAGCAAGTTATGTATGCATGTATGTGTGTGTGTGTGTGTGTGTGTGTGTGTACACACACACACACACACAGATGAGACACATATATTATTATTATTACATTAATATTGCATGTTTCACGACGAATAATATCGTCAGATAATGACAACGATCAAAATAATATGGTGTCTCAGATAATATTATGGCAACATTTTTAGGAAAATCTATAAAAAATTTAAAACAGAAAAAAATGCAATGAACATTGAAAAGTTTCCAACACCGTTAAATTTCCACTTTATTTATGTGTATGGAAAATAATGTCAGACATATGACCTCCCAGCGGGGTAACTCCATAAACGTGAGACTGGGTGTCTTCTCCAATTCCGAAATCATTCATTATTGTGTAGAGTGTGTAGAATATGAATTTAATAAAATTCATATAAAAAAAAAAAAAAAAAAAGGTATTTCTATATGGTATAGATAACACGACCTGACAATCTGTTCCTGGACACTTCACGAGAAGATTACAAGATTACGATGTCGAGAAAAATACAGTTCATATACGCATTAAAGAACGCAGTACGTTTGAACCAGAAACACACAAAGTGCCAAGAGTCCAATGGCCAATTCTAAAACTGCAGCCGTGAACCAGTTTTAATATACTACTGTGAATTCCGCTTAATGTGACCACTGGTTTACAGAATCAACTGTTTATTGGAATCAAAAACGAAAACTCCAAACCAAATCTTATGTTATTAATATTAAATTAACCTTTTATTGGAATCATAAAGTACCGGATAGTTGAATTATTTCCATGAAAATTCTTATCGTTTTCATGGTGTATAAATATAACAGAAAATATTTTTGAAATGATTGAAAAACGTTTTGATGATTTTTTTTGCGACAAAAAATTGTTTAAAAATATTTTTTAAACGTACAAAGCTGACTAGAAAATCGTATGAAAATATTTTACGTTTTCTAAAAGATATTTTGAAAATGTAATTTTGTTATGCGGGCTTTCCTCTGGTTTCGGTTTTTTTCCCAATTATTATGAAAAATATTAGGAAAATAAAAATAACAGCCTTTCAGAAAATGCGCTACACTTTCAAGATCGGAGCAAGTTTTCCGATAGAAAAGTTGTTCGCAGACAAAAAAACCAATACGTGTTTCAAACTTTTGAACACTTATCCGCAACCCTGGCCGTGAAAATCGAACATACAGACACAGACGCTTATGCCGTTTATGTCCGTTTCATAGCGTTTTCCATACCGGTACCAAATCATAACCCTATTTATATTTTTGACAATTACAAATTATAATTTATTATCATAATCGTGACCGCTGGCAAGGAATTCGCTCGGTTTTATTGTGCTGGACACACTCCGCCCGTCGCATAAAACTGATTCGGCGAGCCCTACAGCACCGTCGCCGTTTCAGTTTTCAATGCATTGGACACGGACGAAGGGTTGCGCAAAGATCGTTTTACCGGATAGGCTTATCTATTCCGCGGTGGAAAAAAATCAAACGAACCCATTGTGCTTGATTGTATATTATAGTATTATATATTCTCACACTAATTTAAATCGGAGATTTCGATGAACGCCTATTTAAAAATTCACCAATAAAAAATAATCATAGCAATAAATAATAATAATAATAATAAAAAAAAAAAAATAGATTGTATAATATTATTTTGTTATGATCCTGTATCATCTCCGTGACCGACAAACGCACGTTGGGGTGCATAGTCTTTTATTTTTTAAATTTTTATTCCCGAAACGACATTGTATATTATTATAATAATTTTTTTTATACATTTTCTATTATCGCAATGGTTTTTTATCAACGCATATAAATATAAATTAATGGCCGCGGGAAGGACTACCGGATCAAACTATAATACGCGTAACGTACCCCGCCGTTTCCCAACAACACTCCCACACTATCAAGACTCGTTATTTATAACTATCAATTTTAATTAAATCCATAAAATAATGAATTTTAAATTGTTGTTTCGACTGCGTTTTATCCGCTGCTCGTTAACGACGTTATTATTATTATTATAACTGGACACGAATAATATTTTTTTCATTAGTTTTTCTCTAGCGTTTTGACATAAATTGCAGTATTTCCGTCGTCGTTCCGTTTCCGGTTGTTGCTAAGAGATATTTTCAATTCTTTTTAAAACACAACCCATATAGTTATTTTATACGTCGTCGTGCGATTACGTTAAAATTATTTGTGTATGACAAAATTATAATTCTATTAGAGAACCAATCGATTTGTCACGTCCGTACTTGAAGGGATAATTATTTAGCTGTATCAAATGAAAAACCGATTAATCATATTGTTCAATAATTGTTATAGGAAAAAATTGCATACGCGTAACGCTGATACGGAGTTTATGACGTCATCTAGTAAAAAAAATGATAAAATGATTTATATCCGCTATAATAGCTATAACACAGTGTGTGGTGTGTACACGTAAGGTATACCGCACACGTCAAGGGGAGAAAACGATTTGACGTTTGTGTTTGTCCGCGGTAGACGTTATAAAAAGTTATCAAATATTTTATTGTGTAGACGAATATTCAGGTATGTTTGTTTTGAGTGTACAAAAATCAAACTTGTTTCTACGACTACACGGAAAAAAAAAATTAATAATAATAAATAATAATATTAATCATTGTCGACGACAGTGACAGTTTCTTTTATAGTATTATTAAAATCGTAGGTACTTTTTGTGTCGTAAACAATGGCGCTGCAGAGTGTGTATTTTATATCAATACACTATCGAACTGCAACATAATATTATTATTATTATTATGGTGTCTAGACATCGTGACGCTGTAACAATAGCGGAATAAAATATGTCCAATAGAACTTTATAAAAAAAAAAAAAAAAAATAAATAAATAAAAAAAAAATTACGATAACGGTTTATAAAACACATAATGCAGTAGTGCATCGACGTGCCATATAACGGGCAATTAATATTACGGAGTGCAGTTACAATAAATGGACGTAAAAAAATAAAACCGCGTAGAATTATTATAAATTATCGATAACCATACACTGTGTGTTGTACACGTTTATTATTTTTAATACACCTCTATACACATTCACGTGGCGATGATGAACGATACGCCTCGAAAAGGCATTTTTCATTATTATGAAAATCAAATGTGCACAATCGGATAAATATCACTGATATTAATAGACCTACACTCTTACAAGTATTAATATACAAATATGCCCATCATTTATTTTATTTTTTTTTTTTTAATATATTGTGTTGGACGGAATGTTTTGTAATATATACTTATTCTCAAGGCCGGAATAAG